TTGATAAAAGAGACTATTATTTTACTTATAGGATATGAGTTTGAACTGTTGCATCTGTAAGATATATATGTGACTAATAGTTTAATAAAAAAATTAAACAAATATTATCTTATAATCATTTGAACAGTTTAAAAAAATAGAAGATTATAATTTTATTTATATTTTATTCACTTGAAACTTAAGTGTTTTATTCAAATCTGAATTAAAAGTAAACATTATTAGTCAAATATTAGAATTTCATAAATAAAACTGGTAATATATTGGGATATTAAAAATTGAATCCATTATATACAATAGTAAAATAGATTTGAATAATAAAATTTAAACAATACATAATTATAAAGCGTATATTCACTTCAAATCCATTAATGTTGTGAATTGATACCTCTAATTTAGTTTCTATAATTTTTTTAATATTGAGATCATATATTATATTTAATTTAAAATTTTAGTCACGAACCAAACGACTTCAGTGATAAATAATTTTTTTTCCGGGTTTGAATACTAGAAATGACTAGGGTATGAACATTCAATATCAAATTGACGGGTGTTTGTGTTTATAATTATTCAGTATGTCCATTCCGATGGATTGTATGAGCTTATTCATTAATCATACAATTTCCCTTTTCAAAAATTATTTTTTTAATCTTTATTTTACATCTTTTATCAATTTTATAAACTTTTAAAAAATTGATAAAATTTGTAAACATATTATATTATAAAGATTATTGTACATTTCTTATAGCTGCCAAAGTTAAAAAATTAACTATAAAATAAAATAAAACTGAGAGGCTTTTTCTTTAAAAAAATTAATTCAATAAAAATTAAAAATTTAAAGTAATAAATATATATAAATTAAAGTATTTTTTAGTAATATAAAATAATTACAAGATATTATATGTTAAAAAATTTTAATTTATCAGTAAACTATACATATCTTGTAAATATATTTACTTGAATCCAAAAACTTTTTAAAATTTGTTTTTATCACCGACTCGACTTGTTCAATTATATATTTATATCAAAGGTTAAAACTCCCCCAAAAGTTCACCGGCTCGAGTCAAAGATATATGCGGCAACTGTGAAAAGTGCAGAACCTTTACTTTCGAATCTACATTCAGTAAAAGATACCATGAATCTTTCACTGTGAACAGTGCAGAACTTCCGAACCTACCTTCAGTAAAATATACTACGAATCTCTCTCTCTCTCTCTCTCTCTCTCATCTATAACATGCGTCTGGAATTTTTTTTAACCTTGTTTCCATTTCATTATTTGACCCCACTTTCACATCATCTTCCATATACAATATATATATATATATATATATATATATATTCGCCATTGCTATGCTCTTCTATGATCTCCTAGATCAAACCTCTCTATCAAACCCTACAAGCACAAAAAAATGAATGGATATCCATACTCAAAGATCGGAGGCGAAGTCGGAGGCCATGAAAGTTCCATATCCATGGAGTCTTCTTCTTCCTCAGATCTTATGCCTGAAACCCCCAAACCCACTTCTAATCCGACCCCAAACCCCATCAAGAACTCGGACCCCAACACCCAATGCTCGTCCGAGCAAGAAGACGATGCTAATGATCGACCTGAGGGCAAGGACAACAATATGGGGGAGAAGATGTTTGTTGTTGATCCCACGCTGAGAAGAAACAGCTCAGTTTCTTCGGTTTATGCACTCCAGCTCCAGGCTGCCGTGAAGAGAGCGTTCTCGATGCGAAGATCTTGTTCGGTATCGGAAAGTTATTGTAGAATCCATGACCAGCATGTGACTTTAACACCTCCCTTGGATGAAGATGAAGTATCGGATGTAACTAAAAGATCTGTGAAGAAGAACACAAGAGACAAGATCCTTAAAGCATGGAAGAAGATTTTTAGACTGTAATGTGTCTTTTAATTACTATAAACATTTTATATAACTACCCTTTGAATCTGCTTAGCACTTCTTTTTTATTTCTTTCTTTCGTTTAACAAAACAACTCCTTTGATTATTGCACTTTCCCTTTTTTGTATTTTAAATAGTGTTTTCTCTATTCCATATGGTGAGTATTTATATAATAAAGTAAAAAATATCTATCTATCTATATATATATATTGAATTGTGAAAAGGAAGACTAGATAGACATAGTCATACAATATGAAGGATCATATTCGTCTTGATCTAGTAATGCTAAAAGATCAGTAGGGGGCGAATCATAAATAACTAAAGCTGTGGAGGTTTTACTAGCAAGCCAAGCTTGGCCAGAGCATCGGCAGGTTGATTCCCTTCTCTTGAGCTCATTTGAAGTCAACAGTCCAACCTAGTATGGACCTAGAGGGGTTGATGTGATAGTCGTCAATCCCTACAAATTTTAAATTCCTATATATTTTAGATATTTTCTATTGAAAATATGTTTTTGTCATCTTAAAATTTTATAAGTTATTTCAGACTTAAAATTTTATAGGTTTGCTTCTCCTAATATAAAATTTTACGTCATTCCCTGAGTCAAAGTTCGACGAAAACGATTGATTATGGAGTGTATATAAGATAGTATTAAAGTTTTAAGTTAATTGACATTTAAATTATCGTAAACCTAAAATAATATTAACAAACTTTAAAGATCGATGTCCTTTCCGATGCTTCCATAATTTTTTTTAAGAAAATAATATGAGGTAAGTAAATAGATTCATTCGTTTATTAGCGGAGTCAAAAAAATATAAACTATGATGTCAAATTTTTAAAAATTACTATCAATATTCTTTTAAATTTACGTAAATTTGTTTTTAATATTTTTATAGAAAATTTATTAAAATATTTTAAAAAATTGACACCCCGATTTCTCATGTGGCTCCTGTTGTTATCAAACTAATTATCCTTTAATCTAACAATATTCATATTATTGATCTTTTTATTTTCAAGAAAATATAATTAGATAAAAATGAACCTTTTTAGCAAATAATTATATAAGTACTTTGTTTATAATTTATTGAAAAAAATATATTTAGGTCTCATTATATAAGTGGCGTAAGTGATTGAAAGTTGATTTTATCGTTTTTATTTTATGAAAAGAGACATAGAGTACAAATGAGAATCAAATGGACAAGACAAGACCATTGAATAACATGTGAATCTACTTAGACACATAAAAAGAAATTTAGTTTTATTATAAAGTCCAAAATTTCGCAGCATTTTCGTGTAAATATCGAGCATCGGATACTCTTCTTTGTGTAGAAGACAATACCTTGCATGTTGTTGTACCACTCGTTGGTAGTGTCCTTTGTCGTCGAAAGTTAGCCTCTAAAGGTTGGTCCGATAGCTCGGTCGAGGTGGCGGTGACTGCCACACCCGAAGGGAAAAAGAACATTTTTTTATGGTAACATGCCTGGTGTTTCGTAAACAAGAAGAGCATTTGATTCTTCCTCTTTGATCCCTACTAATGGTGGAGGTGGTGGCTGAAAGCCACGAACCCTCAGTCTATCTCTCTGGATCTGTTGTGCTAAGTGAAGTTGTTGTTCTTGGTGGCTTATGGCCGTTGTTCTCTCGAAGCCATCCGAGAAGCTGAAGACGCCAGCTACTTGGTGGTGGTCGAGGATCGTAAAAGAGTTGAGTCAAGTTTGAGTATTGTTGAGTTCGACTCGACTCGAAAAATTTAAAATTGAACTCGAATCGACTTGAAAATTCGCGAGCTTAACTTGAACTCGAAATAAAAATTTGAAACTCAATTCGACTGAAAAGCTCGCGAGCTTAAAATTTTCAAGCTCGACTCAAAATAAAAAATTAAAGTTCGATTCGAGCTAAAAAATGCTTGAACTCTAAACATTCTCAAACTTAGCTTGATTGAAACTCAAGCTCGAGCTCAAACTTGAATCTTAAATACATGAAATCATTATATTGTTTTTTTTAAAATAACAACATGTAAGTGTTTATATAATTAATAATTTAATTTAAAAATCTAAAAGTTTAATATATTATTTTTTTCGAGTTGCTCACAAGCTTTTTGAGTCAGATATCAAGTAGCTTACTTCAGCTCGTTAAGAATTCGAGTAGAGTTTAAACTCGAGACAGGTTTATTCAATTCAAATGTTGGTCAAACTTTGGCAGAATCAATCTCGAATTGCTCACGATTTGTCTTGTCTCATTTAGAACCCTAGTACTGGTGGTAATCTTGGGACATTGAATTTTGTAAAAAAAAAAATTGTTCTTCTTAAATTGAGAATTTAATTGTAATCTTTAAAATTTAATGAGTGGTCTTAGTGATAAAGAAAAATATTATTTTAAGATGTAAGTTTACATAGTGTGTACTTTATCAATAAATTAAAAAAATTGAATAAATAATATCTTGTAGTCATCTATCATGTTAAAAAAATTTATGATCCTTATAAATGAGTAAAATATATGTTCACGAACACTAAATGAACATGTTGATGGATATAAACGATATGTTCACTAACGCTAAATGAGTCAAATATGAACATCTTCAATAATAAATATATAAAAAACATGAATATAAATTGAACATGGCCATCTTAAAAACAATGAATAAACAACATGAATATATTGTTCCTTCAAGCCCAGTTCGTTTATACCCCTAGAAAATGTCAAAGAGCTAGAATGATAATAAATTGAAAGTTGAAGGGTTAAATTGATCAAACAAATAGTAAAAGAGTTAAAGTAAATTTCACTAAATTAGAGGGGCTATCTAAGATATTAAGCCTTGTATTTACTATTTTCGTTTACCGCCAATCTATTTTTCAATCACAATATAATTTCATCGAGAGAAAAAAGAACAGAATTCTGTTATTCATTATTTTCTCTAAAAGGAAAATATATCGTTTTTGCTCTGCTACAATTCAGACTCAGTTCTCGCCATCCAAACAACTAGTAATTTCATTTAGTTCTATAACTTCTTTATTTAGATTTTCTAAATTTAATTCAATATTTTTTTAATTTTAGAAATGCTTGCTCAAACTGATTTTTTTTCTTCTGGAAATGTAAATGAAGATTCTCTGTGATATTATCCGTTCAAAATATATACACACATATTAATTTGATGCAATTTATTTCAATAGATTTTGAAGGAGGCAATTGCTATAATTAAGTAATTGGTATTTGGTAGATCGAAGCAGCCTGAACTGGAATCGGTGAGTTTTTAATTCAATGCAATCAACTTTCTGGGTGTTAACCAAAAGGCTTTCATAACAAAATTGGATACGTTAATTTTCAGTTAATTAAAACTATTTGTTTCAATTAATATTATTCTATTTATTGAAATTACGGAGCATTTCTGATTTCTCATCTCAGTTTAATTCGTCTAATTATTTCAATAGCAGATTCATTTTTGAAATGTGAATTTTCTATTGTATCCGAAGCTTTGTGAATTTTCGGTTGTAATTTATTCCATTGATTAATATGCCTTTATTTCTTTATATTGAATCATGTTTAAATCAAATTATTTTCATTAAAAATCGCAGATCAGGGAGGAAAACGCTGACAGAAATAGATTTGGCGATCGGATGCGTCATTGAGAAGCAACGAATCCCCGAGTTGAATCACTTGGAGAGGTGACCCAAATGACGGCGAGCGAAACCTTTGTAAGCGATGAAGGGTTGGCTTCATTGCCGACGAATCCTTCGTCGCCGATGACTCCTTCATCCCCGATGAATCCTTCCTCGCCAAGGAATAGGATAAAGTTTCTTTGCAGCTATGGCGGGAAAATAATGCCCAGATCAAGCGACGGTAAACTCAAGTACGTTGGTGGAGAAACTCGAATGGTGGCGGTGCCGGGGGATATCAATTTTTCAGGTTTGCCCTCGTTTCATCTTTGTTAAGTTTTATGCCAATTCGACTTATTCCCAATGGTACTTTGGTCCTTGTTACGCTTCTCTTTTTGATACTTATAGAACTAGAATGAATTTTAGATTGATTTAGATTTCAAAAAATTGGTCTGTCTAATCATTTTCCCACTTTTTGGATTGATCACTTGTATTTCTAAACTTTAGTCGACAAAGCCACAGTTAGTGCTTAAAGATACTTTATGTTGGCATTTTGGCCAAAGTCCAAATCTTAGTAACCTTTCTACTCTTCAAATTCGTAATAAAAAAATGTATGTAAATTTAGAAGGAAAAAGAATCATAGCAATATGAGAAATATCTTAAAAGCTGAAGAATTGAAGAAGAAGGTGAACGGTATGGTAGAGGGGGACGTGATTCTGAAATTCCCGATTATCCCCGAGGAACTTGATGCCTTGGTAACTGTAAAATCTGATGAGGATGTCAAACATATGGTTGATGAGTATCGTCGTCTCGAAAGTGAAGGAATTCCAAAACTACGTGTTTTCTTGTTCCCTTCGAACCCGATCGTAGTTCGAGAACCAGACGAACCCTGTAGATCCCTACGCCATTGAGCAGCGTTACATAGAAGCCATCAATGGCATACATCTTCAGAGTTCAAATAATACTAGTGGAAGACAAACCTCTGTCAACCCAAGCAGCTCCAACTTCAGCACCTCTGCTTGCACTTCCCCTACATCAGCTTCTCCGGATGCTATGGCTAGCTCTTACCCCATGGAGCCATCATTTTTAGTTGCAAACCAACACAATAAACCCCCCATGCCTAAAGTCCGCAGTTCTCCTAGCCTTTACAACCTCCACCTGCAAAGTAATAACAACCATAGCAATCACCAAGTTTACCAGCTGCATCATCAGTATCACCAAAACCACCAGCAACCACAGCCCTATGGCATTCAATCTCCAGGAACATCCCCAGATTATTGGGCTGAAAAGGGTGCTATGGGGCACGGTCATGTTCCGGTAAACCGAGTCTATCCGGTAGGCAGACATAACATGGGGAATGGATACCAAGGATATCCTTGCTGCTGTGATGATATCATGGCTTATTCAAGTGGAGGGTCTTCTAGGAGAGGTAGCCCTTCTACAAGTGGAAGGCTCGATAAAACGGATAGTCCCAGTCACAAGAACCATATGCCGGAATAAAGCAGTGGCATCAATCAAGTAGTATATTGATCATCAGACTGAAGAACTGAAAGATAGGTACATAATCTTTTTACTTGTAGGTTATTTGCTACCCAAAGATGGGTAAGACGGTAAAGAAAGGATCTTTTATTTCCTTCCTCAATACATATCTGTGGTGTGAGTTTTCGTTTTCCTTTTATCCTTCGTTTTGAAAACTTGGTTCATATAAATAGCCAAGTTGAAGTGCTAAAACAAGATTTACAGATTTGTGAAAGATTATGTGCATTATATGATATATCTAAAGAACTTGACAGTTGAAAGAATGAATTCCTATGCTCTTTTGTTTTTACTATACTATCACTGTCCTATTGTGGATAAGTTAATTCATATCTCCCCCTTTTGATTGAGATGACTTGATTATATATAATAAAAAAATTCTTCAATCAGGTGTAATCAAAGTTCATAAATTTAATTGATCAGAAAAAATTAGACTTAATGAGCCCTTAAGCTTGAATTATACCTGCCTTTAATATAGCTTTAATTTCTCATTTTATGTAAGCAAGGATGAAGTAGGAATTTAGTACAAGAGAAAACGAGAAAAAATTATAATTTTAAAGAGAAAAAGATAAAGACTTAATGCACCGGAACAAGTATAACACTTTGGGTATGCCATTCATTCTACGGAAATTTAATTTGAGGTCACTTCATTTCTCAATTGGGGCAAGAGCCAGTTATTATGAGAGAGATTTTAATGTTTAAGCAAATTGCTTTTGAGGAAGTGCTCTCCATCCGATATCCTTCCGGTAGAATCCTTCCGGCCAGTTGATTTCTTCAACTGCTAGGTAAGCTTTGTCCCTTGCTTCTTCAAGATCTTTGCCTTTAGTAGTAATCCCAAGAACACGACCACCTGTAGCAATGAAATTTCCATCTGAATGGAGTGCAGTTCCGGCATGGAATATCTCGACCGAAGGGGCAACATGTTCGGCTTCCTCAAGGTTCCTAATCACAGTCCCTTTCTCGTATGAGCCGGGGTAACCCTTGCTTGCCATTACTACGACCATGGCCGATCCAGGAGACCAGTTCAGAGTCACCCCTTTTAGCTCTCCTCTACAAGCTGCTAGCAGAACTTTCGCGAGATCGGACTCTAAGCGGACCATCAGAACCTGTCGCAGAGCAAACCACAACAAACACCATCTAAGAATCTATTGGCTCATTGAAAAGCTTTAAAAGATGGCACATAAACCAGCTTATCACTGACCTGACACTCCGGATCTCCAAACCGAACATTATACTCGATTAGTTTAGGTAAGCCGGACTTCTTCTCTATCATTAGTCCAGCGTATAAAACCCCGACGAATTTGCATCCCTCCATTGACATGCCCTTCACCGTAGGGAGAATAATAGATTCCATGACCACGGATTGAAGTTCTTTAGTTAAGACTGGTGCCGGGGAGTATGCCCCCATCCCACCAGTATTTGGACCCGTGTCACCTTCTCCAACCCGTTTATGGTCTTGTGCAGACTCGAGTGGTATGGCATTCTCGCCATCCACAAGGGCAAAGAACGATGCTTCTTCTCCTTCAAGAAACTCCTCTACAATGACCCGGCAACCAGCAGAACCAAAAACGCCCTCTACAAGCATCGAATCAACAGCTTTGTATGCCTCCTCTATCGTCATAGCAACGGTGACTCCTTTTCCGGCAGCCAGTCCATCTGCTTTGATAACAATAGGTGCTCCTTGCTCTTCGATGTATCGCTTTGCAGCTGATGCATCCGAAAAAGTTTGATACTAAACCAAACATTTAAAAGGAGCATTAATCCAATGGCAAACATGTCTGATAATGTGTAATAACTTTTTTTTGGCAAAAAATTGAGATAAAACCTTAGCTGTTGGAATCCCATATTTGTCACATATAGTCTTCATGAAGTTTTTAGAACCTTCCAAGGCAGCAGCCTCAGCTGAAGGGCCAAATGTGGGGATCCCAGCCATTACCAAGTCATTAGCAAGACCCGAAACAAGGGGAGCCTCTGGTCCAACAACAACCAAACCGACACTCCATTTGCGGCAAAACGAAATCACGGCTGAGCTATCCGAGATGTCGAGGTCAGGAATACTAGTCGCATTCCCGGAGGCGGAAATCCCGACATTGCCCGGAGCACAGAAGACGGCATCGCAAGATGGTGACCGCTGCAACGCATAGCAAAGGGCGTGTTCTCTTCCCCCTCCTCCGATAACTAGAACCACCACTCTCTCCGCTGTTGCAATTAGCCAAAGACAACACAGTTTAGATGAAATTTTCACTCACTTCAAAATCATCTGCCTTACCATTTGTCCTATGGGTTGGATGATAATATTACTTGAAATTGGTTTAATACTATTAACTCCATCCGAATTAAAGATTAAAGCTTCAGTCGAAAACATGCCAATTAAATCAAAATTTGGCATATTGATATTTAAAGGTTTGATTTAAAAATTAAAATCCAACGGAAATAGATGAACTGCAGTAAGGACTAAATTTCAAGTTTGGGGCAAATTTAGACCCCTGAAATAAACAAAAAAGATTAACCAAAAACAAGAACATTACAGAAAAATGGAGGAAAAGGGTAACAATAAAAATAGATAAATTAATGGGAAAAGGGTGCTTCAGAGTTGTTGTTATCATACCGGAAGCACCATTACTGCCATGGTCATCGACCGAAACGGAGAGCTCTGATTTCAGGGAAACGCGTCGGAAGGCAGTAGAGGACCATCGTGAGCCGTCGCAATGAGGCCGAGACGATCTACGATGATCGACGGTGAAACTAAGGGATTCCACTGAGAAAGAAGAAGTCCCAAGGAACGATTTTGATCGTAAAAAGGAACTGTGAAAAAATTGAGAAGCAGGGAAGCCATTGTTGTTGATAGCAAGCTTAGGAGAAGGAGAGAGATTAATGGTCGTAAAGGCCATGCCTTCTTTGCCCACTTTTCTTGTTTCTTCGGAATTCTGCAAAAGGAATAGTCGTTACTGAAAATTCATTTTATGGGCTTAAAGAAACATACCAAGCCAGTTTTTGCACTAGGGTTCAAGGTTTTATTGTGGTTTTTTTAAGAAACTAATTATTTTTTAATCAAATCAAATATTACAATTCATATAACATAACCCTCAAATTCATAAAATTTAGCATCTCATAATTTATTAGCATATAATTAAAGAATAGAGAGAAAGGGAGCGTACCAATGAAACCAAGGAGTTTAGAGATAGCAGATTAGAGAGTGAACAGGCATAGAGAGAATTAAGATATATAGAGATGCGGGCATTGAAGAAACAGTGATCGTAGTAATGTGTGCTGCTTTGTTCCTGTGTGCTGCTCTCTGTTTTGTATTTGCCTTTGCATTTACCAAGTCTTTGAAATTGGAACCAAACACACAGGACGTTGATTTCAATCTCACCGTTGTTTTTGGGTTGAAACCAAAACCACTTTGTTTCAATTCTATTTTCACCAACACTTTCTCAGATACACCTTAATTTCAAATTCCGACAATTTGGTCATCTAAAATACAATTAAGGATATTATATGCTGCTTTAATGCTTTCCGTTTTTTTTCTTCTAAATTCTAATATCAAAGATCAAAGATTAAGCACAACCTACCTTATATTTACCCCAGAATAATAATAATAATAATATCAAAGATTAAATTTATTAATTTTTTTAATTAAAATAACATTTTATAAACGCTGAGGACTAAATTATTTTTTAATACTACTCACCCAATTCAAAATTGAGAGCTAAAAGATTTTTTTTAACCAAAATAACCCCCTAATTTCTAACAAAATTCAACTAAATTATTTCTCTTCCTTTTGATAGAGACTAACTTACCTTTTTAATTTTTTATTAAGCACGAATATCAAATTCTGACAAAATATAAATATATATAGCAGAAAATATTCGTTTCCATATTATCCAATTAAACCAAAAAAATTATAAATATTAAAATTTGATTTGTACAGTCATAGAATGACACATAGAGACGGAGATGAACTTAGTAAAGCAAATAAGTATACAAAGAGGGTTATAGAAATTAAAATCAGTCTTCAGGACTTGACAAGAACAAAAAAATAAAAAACCAGGCTCTTCAGCAATCAAAAGCACGGATGAACGACGATACGAGTGTGGGACATTTTTCTTCTTTTTACATGATGATTACATGTATGATGATGCAAAAGAAAATGGCGTGGCACCGATATTGGCTCGTAGAAGCAGAATAAATTTGGAAAGGTTACTACGTATGCAGCGCCATGAATAAATTCTGCTTACGAGCATGCTCCGGAATAAGTTTCTTCACAACATCAGGGGGGACGCCGGAGAGCTCTGCATATTTAAGGGGAATAAAGAGTAGAGAAAGAATTCAACCATGTATATGTTGTTAGAGTTTTGTTTTTGTACTATTTGTACTGTATTCAAGATACTGCATGCATATATGTAACAAGAAATCTGATTTCTCAGTAACGTAAACATGCAGCAGTGTATCTTGATGGCATAATTTGCTTTCAAGTATTTTTAACTACCAAATAAACCTCACCTTGCGGCTTAAAATTGAAGAGTGGTGGGAGAGGACGGCCATTGGGAAGTCGAGTGTTCGGGTCCCTCAGTTCATCAAAGAATGGGTGAAAGCAAGCCTCCAACTGCAGTAATATTGCCATCGGAATATAAATAAAAAAGCCGATTACTGAACGATAATTTTTGAAGTTACCACTCAATGCAGCATAAGCAAGAATATCACAACTTACAGCAGTGCATCGCAAATTGGGAGAGTACTGGAAAAACCTACAGACAAGGTCCACTGCTTCCGGAGGCAAACGCTTTTGGAAGACCTTTTGCAAGAAAATGCATTATGGAGTTTGATACGAAAGCTTATGATAAGGAGGCCATAAATTATGAAAACGAGAAAACTGCACACATACCTTGTGCCATGGATGGGGCTTTATCTGGGGAAACTTGAATTCAGTGTAGTTTGGATTCATGCACTTGATCTCCTCCCTGGTTGGAGTCCCCAAAACCTAAACAAAACATTCAAAATCATAGACATGTTATCGATCATCCTTTGGGAAACTTTGATGTACATGATTCCACACATTGTGTCAAAAACAACGGACAGACTGCATTCCGCAGCAAATGAAACTTGAGTTTTCTTCTATTTATGAAAAGGAATAATTGAAAAAAAATATTAAATTAAGCAACACTGTATAAACTCATTTGGAAATCAGAAAATGTAAAGTTATCTAGAATGTTTATCAAAGCACTCGAGCACATTTAATTTAATTCTCAACATAACCGAGTTTTAAGCAAAAGTCTAATAATTATCAAAACCTATGGTTTACTGTTGAGATATAATAAACTTCAATTGATTTTTCAAATGTCAGCAAATGTGAAAAGTAACTAATACTCTAATAGATTAATCATGCATTAAAAGCAAGTACTCAAAAAAATTATACAAGGAATGATAGAAGCCATCACCTTAATGATTTCAACAAGTTGGTCGACCCCACTTTCACCAGGAAACAGTGGCTGCATAGTATGGTAGCAATCAGAAACACGGTTAATGAAGAGATCAGTACCCTTATTAAACAAACTAGTCTAAAATTACCTGTCCAAGGAGCAATTCAGCCATCACACAACCAGTAGACCATATATCTATAGCAGTTGTATATTCAGTAGCACCAAATATGAGTTCTGGAGCACGATAATATCTTGAGCAGATGTAAGATACATTGGGTTCTCCCTTCACCTGAAACAGATAATGCATGCAAACTCGGGTGGTGAAACAAGATCCGGCAACAACAAAACAATTACCATTCATGAAAACTTACAAGCACTTTTGCACTCCCAAAATCACAAATTTTCAACTGATGCGTATGTGGGTTCACCTGGACAAAAACCATAGAAGTTGAGTCTCTCACCAAACCAAGGACTCCAAATATAAAATCTCTAACCAGATAGCATTTTTCTCACATGGAGAAAACAAAAAACAATAACATATAAAAGAAGTCAATAAATCTCAGGTTATTCCCAATATGGTCAAAAGACTTGATCGGCTAGAACAACAAACAATACAGTTACATGCAGGTGTACACTATTACATGGCTAATACGTACTTTGTAACAAACGTTTGATTCCTTAAAAAAAGACTTACAAGTAAATTCTGAGGTTTGATGTCACGGTGACATATACCAATGCAGTTGTGTATATAGGCAAGTGCTCTGCATATCTGCATCCCAGAAGAAGACAATTAGCCACAACTTTATCCAATAGACTAAATTTTGAGAGTTAAACTGAAGAAAGGGAAAAGAAAAGTAAGTTTATCTCTAGAAAATCTGAAATATTTGACTTATCTAATGTGAAGGTAATAGTTCAAACCAGAAATTGAAAGATGATTTCTCATTCCATTACCATATGATATAGCAGCAAGACCAAATAAATCATGACAATATATCATATCTGAAACAATTCTGGTCCATTCAATTACTCAATAAAAGGTTTCGCTCATAAAGAGTGTCAAAAGCGATGAGAATCCGAGTAACAAATTGGGGTTGCACACAATGGAGGCTGTGGATCAATCAAAGTTAAATATCGTGGAGCATCTAACCAATAAATCAGTTGATCATTCTGATGGTGTTAGCCTCAGGTCCTCGGAAGATGTTCTTATGATGGGTCTCATTACTTCTCATGGTTCATCTAGTGACACATTTCAATTAAAGGAAGATTCCCCAGTGGTGCCTATCCCTGGGAAATTAAGAACTAATCGTGTGGCGAAGAAATGCAAGACAAAGAAAAGAGTTCTGAATTAAGTGGCTAGGATACATTGATTGAAGGGAAGGAAGTGTGGTTTTGGTTATTTGAAGATAACTTATCGAGCTGATTTTTTTGGTGGTTTTGATACATGTTGGTATTTTGTGGAGTTCCCTTCAGAGGCGGATGTTTTTGGTTTATTGGTTTTAGGTGTTGTTTTCATGTATGTTATGTCATTAACTGTTGGGTTGTTTTCCTATTGATGGAGGTTTATCTTAGGTATAGGGTGATTGCCTTTGATTTTTGTGGTCGAGAAGGTGAGAGTTTTAGGTGATTATGTTTTTTGTAATGGTGTTTATCCTCGTTTGAGGGTATTTCGTATTTTCATATGTAATGGGTGTTTTATTCAATGAAATATGAGGTACTCTTTTCTTCCTTCCAATGTTCGTTAACATACTGCTTAGTATGTGGACGAATACGAAGGGAGTTTTTAATGAGACCTCCAGCTTCTATCAAATAAATAAATAAAAGGCTATTGGGAGAGAAACATAATCCAACACCATCTTTCCATATATCAATATAACATATAAATATATGCTTAATAGGGCAGAGAAGCACCTGATAGGTATAGAGTTTAACGTATATTAAAGACATTCGTGTGTTCATCCTGCTGTAGCTTCTAGCTGTACGGTGAACAGTTTCAGGTACATACTCAAGCACAAGATTGAGGTAGAGCTCTTCCTTGTCTGTTTTTGAGAAAAAGTAATGCTTAAGAGAAACAACATTTGGATGATCCAGCATTTGCATAATCTGCAACTCCCTATTCTTGTAGCGCTTATCTTGAAGAACCTTCTTTATGGCAACAATTTCTCCAGTTTCAGGACATTTTGCCTTCAGGAAACGGTCAACTCATTCAAGATTATAATCTAATTAACACAGTCAATTAAAGATTAATGATCAAGAATATTATAGAACTTCTTACTTGGAAAACAACACCGAAAGAACCGGTTCCAACTGCATGCTCAGCAATATAACTAACATTCTGTCAATCCAACAAAAAATATAGGTTAAGAATAATCCAAACAAATGTAGAATCTTTGGAAATTTTGCATGCTGATTTATTTTCTTTCAACCTGTTTTGATTGACTGTTTCGACCGCCAATGGTTGTTCTTATCACGTGTCCTGTTTCAGCACCCACTCCATCAACTATGTCTGGTTCACTATCCTGAATGGATAAAACATAAAGGATCATCTATAAATAGAGAAGCATCTTGCCGAGATTATAAAACTATGTTCAAGGTTTCAGTAGAACCTTTTAAAGCTACTTGAGAAGAAATTTTGACAAGTTAAATCCAAAAATAAAATAATAAGCAACTATAGATTGAGCTTCTTACTCTATCTTCATCATTTTCCACCTTGTCTCTCAGTCTCATTTCAAGCATTTCTCTCCCCAGCCAATCAACAGAACTAGATGAACTTTTGAAACCATTAATGGACCTGGAACTACCCACTCCTCCATTTCCTAGACTTGCAGATGCCATAATTCAGCCAGGTAAACCTTATAGAAACTAGTATTGGCTATCCACTAAACACTCCGTAGTCCAGCTGCCCATCTGATCCAAGCGCCTATCTTCCTAATAGATTCCCAAAGAAGAAGAAAAATCATTAAGGGAATGTAAAATAATTAATATAATAGGTTCCATGCAAAAATAACATATACGACCCACTGCCAAAGTGAGAGATCAGAACAAAGAAAAAAAGTGCATTAAAGAAAATAGTTTCCTACATAACACCATACAATATTTAATTCCTCAAATAAAAATAACTACAAGCTCTGGGAGATCAAAAACATATGGGAATCAAATGTTAACAATTACTTATTTTCTTCATATAGCATACAGAATATAAAGTATAAACTATTGCAGGGTATGAGCGTCAGAAAAAGAAAAAGAAAAAGAAAACAATTAAAACAAGGAAACAATAAAGAGATTTTCAGTTAAGAAACAACCTGTTAAGACAAATAGTCCAAGGTTTGACTTCAAGTTCAAACAAGTGAGATCAGCTACATAGAATATTTTGCCTTCGAACAGTTAAAATCCATGTCAGATTCTCTGAAACATACCCAAAATTCATTCTTTGTTTAAATCGTATGTCCATTACCATACCTTTATAAATGAATTTTCATCCTAGTGAATTAAAGCTTATTTTATCCTACTAGTTCCCAAAAAAATGTTGATTTTTCCATTGCTAAAACCATCAGTGTGATCTAATAATAAACGAAATAAAGAGGAGCAAATAGTACCAAAATTAATTACGGCGTGAAATTATTTGTTAATCTTACACGGAGCAGCGATCAGATCTAACCCTAATCTAGCCAATGAAAACACCAGAATCCACATAATTTTCCACTCAGGATATGAATTAATGAAAAGAACCCTGAAAATAAACCTTTACATACCATTTAAAAGAAATCAATTTTCGTCGAAAATTAAACCCAAACTATATCACTTCAAAAAGAACAAAAAAAAAGGATTCCCGTTTGAATACTTACTCGGAACGGAACGAAACCGAGAACAGATCAAGCGCATTTCTTTATCCTCTGAATTCGATTACAAAACTCTAGTTAGTTTTTTTTTTCAAAACAAAAAATCACTTATGGCATACAGCTACGAAATGTTTCTGATCTGATCAAAATTGCTATTTTCAAGATTTTCTGATATTTCCTGTAATTTTCCCTATATTTCGAGTGGAGACCGGAAAGAGAGGGTTAGAGGAAGAGAGTGTTCGAGCTTATGGATTTCTTTGGGGAATATATACTATAAATGAAAATTACTTATCTTTCATCTTATTATTACATTATTTACATTATTTTATTTCGGTTTAATTTCGCTCCAGTCCCTATAAATGAAAATTACTTATCATTTTCTAAGTTCGAAGTTATATTTCTTCAAGAAGGGTGCAATGCTTGTTTATTCACATCGCTTCATGCAACTTTAAATTAATCATACGAATAATTTTTTTTATAAAAAAACCAAATACAATTTAATAATTTTTTATCGTTAAAGAATAAGTACGATCATACTATTGATTACATATGTAAAATGAATAGAAATCAAATATAATTAATAATAAATCTGAAAATACTTCATGCATAATTTATACTTTTAATACTCAATACTAGACTTTAAGTACAGAACTTATAGAATTAAAAGTAAAGCGAATAAATTCTAAATGAATGAAGAGAGAGTATAGGGACTCAACACGTAGTTAAACCTTTTTATTTTCTAAAATTTAAGCTCTGAACTCATCAGACAATAATTAAAAAAATCAAGGTTTTACTATTATAATGTACAGGGGCCGTATAATATTAAATAAATACAATAAAGCAATCGAATTTTATGTGTGGGTTTCTTCCTATCCAATCAAATTATTTTTTTATTAGAATATTTTATAATATTCTTTTGAATTTATTGTATATTAAACAATTTATTTTAATTCAATATAACATTAACACAAATATTACATTATTAGTTATTTTTAATAATCAACGCTTAGGATGCGTAACTTATAATATTAGAGTAGATGATTAATTCAGATTGCTAGTTAATAAATAATCATTGGATAAAAAGTTAAAAATGTTAATTTGTTTCCTTTAATATTTTTAACATTCTTAATAAATTTTATTTTTCTAATTAATTTTTTTTAAAATCTTATTAAATTTTATTTTTTAAATAAATTAATTTTAAATTTTAAATAAATCTCCAAATTATTTTGTCAAGATTTATATAACTGATTTTAGGTATAAATAATTTAGTTCATGGATCTTCAAACTTTTTTCAATAAAAATACTTAAATATTATTTGTAGAATTTCCTTAGTATTATTGTAATGGCGAAACAAAATATTTTAATATATATAATAAATTAATGATTGCAGGAGGAGAGAAATTTGTCAAAGTTTTTTAATTCAATAATTGACTGTCTACCTGCTCTGCTCATCAAATTTGTTTTATTGCGAACCTTGGTCAAATCTATAATTGCCTATGAATTTCCCTTTTTATTATAGGTAAATGTACTTTTACATAATTTAAATTTCGATTTTAAAATTTTATATTCTGCAAGTCACTTTACAATTAAATTAATAATTTTTTTAAAAAAATTTTGAATTAAAATATATATAAAGTTAAGTGAAAATAAATCATTATCTTATGGTAATTATAAGTGTTAAAATCAACAATTAATTTATAAGCGTTAGAATCAACTATTGATTAACTTATTGGGATGAGATATTAGACAATTTTAAATTTTGGTATTATAAATAAATTATATTAGATTAAAATAATTATTTATATAATACATTTTTTATAATATCTGATTTAAATTAATTATTCTTAAAAAAATAGAAGAGTTAAAGGAGTGTCAAATGGCAACCTTCAAAGATAAATAATACTACTGAAATGAATTTTTTTTCGTCAATAGTCCAAACAAATCGAAAGCAATGCCATTTTCCCTGACACGTGGCAGTAAGATCAGGAGAGAAGATGACGAGGTCCCATATAACAAAACAAAGCAGAATATTTAGATTTTAGTTAGTAATTTAAAAACATCGCTTTAATGCATTAAATTAAAATTTAAGTTTGATTGAGTTGGCAAAGGTCTTAAGACGGTGCATGGAATTTCAATCTAAATTAAATATCGTTTTTTTAATAAAATTAAGTTAAATTGTATCAATTTTTTGTTACAAAAGTATTTTAAGTTATATTATAATTGATGTTATAAATATATTTTTGTAATTTAAATATAATTAATATACTTTTATAAATATATAATTAATTTTAATTAGAATTTAATTTAAATATTATATTTTTAACAGTATAATCAGGGATAGATACAAAATTTTATATTATGAGTGACGAACTTCTAAAACTTTAGATTGGAATGAACTTATGAAATTCTAGGGACGAAAAGATATTATTGGTAAAAAATATTTAAAATATGTTATAATTTAAAATTTTAAGGTACGATGGACCTAACTATTCTCTCCTCAATCTATCCTAGAGTATATCAACTTTCTTTTTCTTTTTTTATATAAAGAGTATAACAATTTTCTAGTTTTGCATATTGATTGGGTGATAGACTTCCATTTTTATTATTTATGATTGAGCCACAAATACAATATGTATTCTAATTATTTTCCTAAAAGAATAAGATGATGATATATATCATCTTATATGATTATATAATAAATAAAAATTTAATTAATTAATATTTTATTAAAATAATAATTTTTTTATTAAACTTAAAACATTAAAAATGATTTTCACATTATATGAAAAATAATATACAATTTTCCAGTTCATTCCATCCATAGTCGATTTATAATAATATGATGTGGAACCCATACATGATGTTAACTTCCTCAATCTTTTCCTGCATAATTCCAAGTGAAAAAGTTAAAACAATTTTTTTTTTAAAAAAAAAACTAAAAGCTGTATGATTTGTTCATAAAATACTATAAATTTTACTCGATTATCGAAATTTGAATTTGGACAGTTCCATATTATAGTAGCTATGTGACGGTGGTCCTCCACGGTTCATATGTACAGTCCCCATAATAATGATTGATTTTCTTACTTTCTTCACAACGAAAAAGAAAAAAAGAAGCATTGGGTCCTTTAGTGCATCAGAAATGGAAGGTAACATCTTTCATGTCCACCTCAAGTGACCATTTTAAGGAAAAGGAATGAACTTGAATCATAAACTTGTAGTTGGGAAGATCATGCTCGATGATTGTAATGATTGATTCTAGTGTTACTGATCGTAATTGTTGATATAATTGAAAGTTACAAATTCGAACAAAATCGAGGCTCGAAACAAGAAGGAAATTACTATAACAGTTGAAAGTTGGAAAGATTTTAGGAGTATTCAGATTCCGATGGCATCGAGAAGTTGGGAGTGTTGAGAAACCGATACTAACGAGTTGGCAACGATGGCACCACTAGCAGCGACTGCAGGAACTCCAATGCCGGGAAAAATCGAATCTCCACAACAATAAAGCTGTGGAATGGGTGTCGGATGTCCCGGAAACGAGCCTTGACCGGCTTGTATAGCCGGTCCGAAGGTTCCTCTATTCCTTCGTAAAAACCTTTGATGTGTCAATGGAGTTCCAACCAGTTTCACCTCACATTTGTCGCGGTTGAAGCCCAAGCCAAGTGCACGTTCAACTGCTCTCCACATTACCTGGTTTACAAAGCATCAATGTGCACAGGCTTTTCACTTGGTTTGAGCTTTGAGTTCTCTTAGCTATGGTTTTTCCAGAAACAAGAAGTAAAATATAAGCTTATTAGCATCAGAAAGCACAATTTGTTTACCTCCGATCGTTCGGCTTTAAGCTTTTTGTATTCTTCACTTCTACGGTCGAGTCCTTCCCACAATTCGAATGGTTCAGTTCCTGGTGTATAAGCATGCAGAACATGTTTACCTGGTGGTGCAAGATTCGGACTAAGTACGCTAGGTAAAGAGATTAAAACAACATTCTGATCGGCGTCAGACTCCTCGTTCCCATTCATTAACAACAATGTGATGAATTCCCAGATCATCGCGCAGACCCTGGACATTATGATGCTTAAAAAGGTTAATAACATGCATACAGATGAACAAAATTCAAAACCTTGTAACATATGCTAATATCTCCAAACCTCTGCATCAAAGCCTAGATGGAGATGCATGAATGATTCACATTGTGGTGTCGTCTTAACTCTATTGATGTATGTCGTCGGAAGTTGATCCTTAGGTAGCAGATTTAAAGTGTTCCACATGAACGCATTGCTGACAACGGCCTTTTTAGCACGTATAAACTGCGGGATCAACATATTTTTCCGGTCAATACTATTTCAAGCAGAGATCATTTGCTTAAGTCAATAGAGAGTTTAGTTTCCTCTATGTTCAAACTATGTTTACCTGACCCCCTTTCAGCTTAACTCCGGTAGCTTTACCATTCTCAACGATGATCTTTTCCACATGACTTCCTAGGGATATCCGACCTCTGAAGTTTTGTAGTCCTCGAACAAGAGCGTCGATAACAGCCCCACTTCCATTAAGTGGATACTCTAGAGTACAACCGGGCTTGTACCATTCTGCAAACATATAAATTTGCATAGACGATGCATGCACATTCATAGCATTTCACTCTTCAAGCATGAAAAAGAAAAGTAATTCGAGTATAGAAGATTCACAATGACATTCTTGGAACATAATTCGAAATAGTCGTTTTGGACCTGTTGCATGCTAAAGCAGACTGATTAAAATCTTTAGAAAGGAAATCTAAAATCTCAGATATCCATATAGTTACCATCTCTGCTGAGAGTATACCATTGGATTTCACCCCAGCAAGCAGGAAAGCTAAAAGGTCAACCCAATTCCTAATAATAGGGTCTTTCAGCTCCAAAGAATCCATGATTTCCGAGAAGGGTCGCAGAAGTTTAGGTGCGCCGAGAGCCCCCTGCAGTCCCATTCCAATAAACGATTTCAACAGAGAAGGTGCATATCTGGTGGCAGCGGTCGAAAGAATGCCCAAATCTCCCCGGATTGATAATGGAGGCAGGGCCATTGCAGCTGCTGATAATGGAAGTATTGCATCCTGCAGCCAAATTCCATTCTGAATTTGAGAAATACTACCTAGTCTTAAAGCAAAAACGAACCGATCAAAACAACAGTTTCACCTCCCTATAATTGATCTGAATTTGACCACTGACAATAATATGTAAAATTATCATCGGTACTCACAAGTAGTTTTTTCCATTCTTGCACTGCATTCCGACTAGCATACTATTCAAGGTCCTGGAAAAACAAAATACTCAGCATAATGCCCCTTTGGACATAGGATATCTTCATTGCATGATGCTTCTCTTACATTTGCTTCTCAAAAAAATGTATCAAGAACCAATGTCATAAATATTTTCAAAGAGAACTTATACGGTGTAAGATACTGGCTAATTACATCAAATAGTCAACATTCCGTTGACAAGTTTCAAGGCTACACAAATCAGAAGCATGAACCCTTGAATACTTAGATGTGGTAATCTTCTAGTTCATGCCAAAAGGTTCTTTGGATGCAGAGTAATATGAAAAAGGCGTAACCTCTAACAAAGTTAACAATGGCAGCTCACCTTGTAGAACTCAGTTGGACCTATGCGTGATAAGAATTCACCTTCAGGAATGTAAACCATCCAAGAGTCATTTTGCGCATGGAATTGACTCACCCAATGCATCCAGGACCTGCAACTCAAACATATATACATATAATCAAAATGAAGGAATGCAGTTCCCAACCAATATCAGCCAGGGAAATCATAGCATAAATTGGCGATACTATTAGATTGTAAATGAACCAAAATTAAACGAATAAGGTTATATTCATGTTCATTTATTTATTTTTGAATGTATTTATGATCGGTTTGTTTAAATTTTTAATATCCATATTCATTTGTTTATTATTTTGTAGTGTTCATATTCGATTCGTTTAATGTTTGTGAACATATTCATTTAATGTTACAAACAACACTCTTTTCTTACACTTTTGTTTGCAAATCAAAAAAATGATTAAATTATGCTACTAGTCTTTAATTTCCTTAGGTTTCACATTTTGAACTCCAAAGTTCAACGTGTTCAATTTAATCCATACCTTCATCCCAATTTAAAATATAAAAAAATAAATAAAAGTATAATAAGAATCGAATAAAGGAACTTATAAACAAATTGATAAACGAGCTTACAAATAATATAATAAACGACTTGTTCATAAACATAAAAAAACCAGACACACATGTTTTTTTGTTTATTAAATAAAATCATTTATTTAAATTAATAAACGAACAAAACAAACATTATAATAACGATTCACAAATAGTTTACTAAACACTATGTTAATTTACACAATGCTATCTGACCAATTGTTTCTTTTCCTTTTCAGGTTCATAGGGGAATTATATCGAACAGGTATGGTCTGACATTCACACTCAACACCCGTATAGACAAGATGAAATCATTATGAAGAAAAACCTTGAAAATGAATAACAGATAGACAAAAGACCTGTGCAAGAGGATTGGCCTGGAGACCTCTTGACTGGAACCCAGAGAACAAAGAAGGACCAGAATCAAATTTGTAGCCCATAATCTCAAAAGAATGGGCAGCACCACCAGGAAGATCATGACTTTCCAACACCAGCACATCCTAGTTGTACCTAGCAAGAAGTCCAGCACAACACAGTCCACTAATACCACTCCCGATCACAACAACATCAGCCTCCGGCTTCCCTGCAAAACTCATCAAGCAAGAAAAAGCTCAGTGTAACCAGTGATGGACCGAGGTGTGATTACTCTGAAAATTTCAAATTCTCATATATTTTAGATATTTTTTTTATTTTTTCTATTGATAATTTATGCTCCTCGCGGTAGTAGAAAGGGGTATGTGTGAATTTAGAGAGAAAGAGATAACCTGGGACAGATTTAGTAGGAGGCTTGACAGAGAGGGAGGTGGAGGCAATGGAAGAACAACGAGGAACGATAATGTTGTTTGGGGTCAAAACGGTGTTTGTGGAATTTGGGTATTTGGAACCTGGGAACAAAGGAAGGCCAGATTGATGAATCGATGCCATGGACGTGTAAAGTAACTTGAAATCAGCAGCGACCGGGAACGGGAAGAGACAAGTAAGAGATGAGATAATTGAAAGGAGGTGTTCATTGTTTCTGCTAAAGAAACTAGCCACGTCATTCCAGTTCCCACCCCAGATGTTTCAGAGATTGCCCATTAGTCCGTTATCCTCTATATGTCTCTACCGTCATATAACTCTAAAATTTAAAAGTTCTACACATAATGTCATTCGGACTCGTTTATGTTCCATCTTTATGTCTTAATGACATTTTCTTTTAAAGAAAAAACAAACCTCTTTATTTAGTTCACAAAAAAGTACAAACAAAAAATTTAACAAATTTTTAATCGTCTTTTATGATAATTTTTGATAAAAATTTTCAAAAATCCCTTGTAATTTTAAATTTAAAATTGATAATTTTTGGTAAAAATTCTCGTAAATTCTGTATAATTTTAAATTTAATAATTATTTTTTATTATAAAATATTTTTAAAAGTAACATGACTGCTGTCTACCGTTAAACTTTTTACTCTCCACAGTAAAAAATGAAGGAATGATGTTCCCAACCAATATCAGCCAGGGAAATCATAGCATAAATTGACGATACTATTAGGATGTAAATGAATCAAAATTATACGAATAAGGTTATATTCGTATTTATTTATTTATTTATTTTTGAATGTGTTTATGATCGGTTTGTTTAAATTTTTAATATGCGTATTCGTTTGTTTATTATTTTGTAATGTTCGTGTTCGGTTCGTTTAATGTTCGTTAACATATTCATTTAATGTTACAACCAACACTCTTTTCTTACACTTTTGTTTGCAAGTCAAAAAAATGATTAAATTATGCTACTAGTCTTTTATTTCCGTAGGCTTCACATTTTGAACTCCAAATTTCAATGTGTTCAATTTAATCCACACCTTCATCCCTATTTAAAATGTAAAAAAAATAAATAAAAGGATAATAAGAATCTAATAAAGGAGCTTATAAACAAATTGATAAAGGAGCTTATAAATAATATAATAAACGAACTTGTTCATAAACATAAACAAACCATACACACCTCTATTCGTGTTCATTCGTTTATTAAATAAAATCATTTATTTAACTTAATAAACGAACAAAACAAACATTATAATAACGATTCAAAAATAGTTTACTAAACACTATGTTAATTTACACAATACTATCTGACCAATTGTTTCTTTTCCTTTTCAGGTTCATAGGGGAATTATATCGAACAGGTATGGTCTGACACTCACACTCAAATTTGGAAGCAACAATCTTCCTTGATACATAAATTTTGATTTTTTTTTTATAATTTCAAATGCACGTATGAAAATTTGATTATAATTCAACTGAATACATTTTAAGAAATAAATATAGTCTTTTTATTTTTATGGTGGACGATTATAATTAGGACTAAACTAAAGAGATTTTATCAATTTGACTACTAAAGTTTAGAACACTTGAGTTATAGTTTTGGACTTTAATTTTGGCTTTAATTATAGTATTAAGTCACGTTAACGGTGTGATGACGTAGTCGTTTTCTCCTATGTGAACTTTAGTTTATGTATCGATTATGTTATTAAACTTAAAAAATCATTTTATACACTAAATTTTAGTTTATGTATCATTTGGATCCCTGTAATTAATTTGATTTTCATTGTCGATCAATCATCGTAGGTCACGTCTAGTTATTTGCAACAAGATCGATAGTAAAATATTTATATTTCACTCATCTTTCTCCTTCTCATATTGATTTTCCACGAAGTCCACTTAAATCGACAAATATCTATCTAAAGATTTGACAATCTAATACTCTGATCTCCTATGATGACAATTCGATGAGGCTAATTTTGAGGTGTGTTGTTTGTATTCTCAAAACAATACTTCTCATCATTTGAATTTAATAACGAGCACCCTGAAACCCTTAAATATGAAGCCCATCAAAACCCGAAAATTAAAGAATTATTGTTCAAACTTTATACTATTTAGTCTTATCAGATCGAACAAATCATCATAATTGTGAACAAATATAATTCAAAATAAAAATAATCAATTATTTTTTATAGTTCTATTGTACGGAGGGGAAACCTAATACTAATTTGTGATGGATTTTAACATAAAATATTATTTTATTTATTTTAAAATGTTACACAATTGATAATAATTCTGATTACAATCGAAAATGAACTTTGTGTTGAGTTTTAACTTAAAATGTTAACATGTCTACTCTGAAAAATTACACAACTAATAATAATTTCAGTTACAACTAAGAATATTACATGAATTTTTAACGATAAATTTTTAGGTTATAATAATTAAATTTACGTGATTTGTATTTTCAATTTCAGCATAAAATGATACTTAATTTAATTTAAAAAATTAATTACTTAATAAAAAAATCTCAACTACAACTAATTACAATCTCATCTTATATTAACCGATTATATTTTAAACTCCCTCGTCAGATTTGCTTTACATATCAAATATAGAATAAATCAATGATTATTGAAACGTATGTATAATAAATAAATAAATAAATAACATGAAAATTGGAAAAGAAAAGGGAGAGAAAATGGTAAGAAATTCAAGAGGGGGAATATTATACATGTTATTAATATATATATAGAAGAAACCGAAGAATGGAAGAGTCCTCTTGGAGTAGGGCTTCGATCTCTCATTGACACTCTTCTCCTTCACATAAAGGGGCAGCAGCAGTCTTTGCTTCAATCTCTGCCCCTTCTCTCCCTTTCTCTTCAAGCCTCATCAAAGTAAGTTTTGAGTGATGGGAGACAGAATACTACCGGGAAGTTACTTTCAGTACCCACCTTCCGGACTCCATGCTTCTACTCACAGGCCTTCTTCTCTTCCTTCAGATCGTGAAAGGTTTGTCATTTTTTTAATCGAATTGCTTGAATCAATCGAATCCCATATTTTCTTTTGATTTTGGGAATTTTTTAATCTAATCATTGATGAGTTGTTTTGGTTTCATGATCAAAGTTGGTTATTGGCTTACTGTGTATTGGTTTTTTTCAATCTTTCTTACAATTGAAGTAACAATGGCAGGTATTTAGCTGAATTATTGGGTGAGAAACAGAAGTTGGGGCCTTTTGTGCAAATTCTGCCTCTATGCACCAGGCTTCTTAATCAAGGTTATTGAATTATCTGTTTATATCCTTTTTTGTTTAATGTAGGATCCATTAACTGTTGGGATTTGTATAATCAGAAATCGGGTGTGATCAAATATAAATCATTCTTAAATGATTAAACGAAAGCTATCATATCAGTAAATGTTGCATTTACTCTTTTGAAGGATGTCAAATCTTGCGCCTAAAGCTTACGATTTATATCATCTTCTAGTTAATGTATGTTTCAATCTGCCAGATTCTTATCATGTATTCATTACCATGGTTGTTCTGTTGATTCTTTTCCTTCGAGGATAATCGCTCGCATACCGATTGTCACCAAATGAACTGAAGTTCCAGACAAATAACAACATAGAACTAGTTGTCATCCTGTCTATAATTGTCCTATTATAATTCTTAACTGGCAAAACATTTGGTTTTAAGTGATTACAAGCTGAAGTATTCTTAAGCTAGATACTTATACACTCTTTTATGTGCTTTTAAAGTGAGTTCTACTAAAGCATGTAATCAAACATAAAGCCAAATGACGACTTCTACTGCCAAACATGATTTGGACAACATATCAAGTCACTTCTGTTTTTTCTTATATCGCTGCAGAGATTAGAAGGGTCTCGGGTCTTAACCCTGGTTTTGCAGATCATGAGAGATTTAAGCATGATAGTCCTTTAAGGTCATTGGGTCAACATCCTAATGGGAGACAGATGGATTTGGAGGGATGGTCTGTAATGCAAACTGAGGTAATGCCATTTAATAGTTTATATAGAAATTTGTTCTCAACATAAATGATTTCTTTTTCATTAATGTTGAATCAAAGGAAAATGAAAATTCTTTAATGTATTTTTCCTGATTCAGGAAAACAGGCATCTGCAACAAGTTGCTTCGATTCAAGATGCATCAATGGGTTGGCCTGGTTTGCCAGGAGTCCCTACAACACCAATTGTAAAGAGAGTTGTTAGACTTGATGTACCAGTGGATAAATATCCGAATGTAAGTTATTTTTAAAGGTCATTTTTTGTTTACCTCCTTTTAAGTTAACAGTTCCGACTCTGCGGCTTTTCAGTATAATTTTGTTGGCCGAATTTTGGGACCACGAGGGAACTCCCTGAAGAGAGTTGAAGCCGTGACCGAGTGTAGGGTTTACATAAGAGGCAAGGGTTCCGTCAAGGATTCCGTGAAGGTATGGATTCTTTTAATACCAAGATGTGATTTTGGTAACACATTGTGTAGTTGGATGTATATCTTATGTCAAGTCTTAAGCTTCTTCTTGCTCTGTCATTTGTTCAGATTCGGATTATAATGGAAGTGTTGTCTATTTTCTTCAGTATTGTGCTTAGTTACTTGCTAGATATACAATTATGCATAAGCAAGTTCTAACCTAATTAAAGATAGGCAACGGCTAGCTAAGCGAACTGCAAGTTGAAGTGGAATGTTTATGAGATTGAGTTTTCCATCGTTGCTTTGCTTCAGTTGTTATTCGTTTGTACTTCATTTAAAATTCTCACAACTGGTTGGTTCCCTTTCTATAGGAAGAGAAACTGAAAGATAAACCCGGATACGAACATCTTAACGAGCCACTGCACTTGTTGGTGGAGGCTGAATTTCCTGATGATATGATAAATTCTCGTTTGGATTATGCTGTTGGCATACTAGAAAACCTTCTGAAGCCTGTGGTACAAACAAAAGCAACTTGTGTTTCTCTATTTTATGTTACCCTTCTTTTTTCTATTTGTTCTAACTCTTCCTTTTATCTCCAGGACGAGTCCTTGGATAACTATAAGAAACAGCAGCTTAGGGAGTTGGCTTTACTCAACGGTACGTTGCGGGAAGAGAGCCCGAGTATGAGCCCTAGCATGAGCCCAAGTATGTCACCCTTTAACAGTACCGGAATGAAACGGGCCAAGACAGGAAGATGACCTTTTTGACTATAAATCTTTGTTTCTTGCTGGTTCACTACATCTGCTAATTAATTGCGATCCCGATGGCTGTGTGATGGATTCTTTTTGCCTAAACTTAAGGATGTTGAATTAGGAAGATCAAGTGAAACTCCTGTCGGTTTCTGCACGTCGATGGTTCTCCATCTCGGTTTCCTTATCTGTTGACCCCTGTTTCCTCACTTCCCACCCCCTCCATAAAGTTGACTATATTGCTTTATTAGTTACTGCGAATAGCCTCTTCTGTAATTATTTTAGTCATGTTCTTTCCGCTTCCGTGTCTCTAAACGCCGAATATACTTGAATATTCTTTTGCATTGACAGTCTCACAATATTTCCATGCATATTTCTACGTATGCATGCCTTTGATTATAAGATAAGGTCAGTCATTGTATTGTATTTTGACTTTACAATAAGTAATATTGTCTCTATTGTGTTTATTTTGGTTTCTCTGCTTGCAACTGAACTGAGATGTATGTATTTGGAATGCATCTATTCATAATAGCAGAACTTCAGGAATTTGTTTTCTGGAGGGGCGGATCTGATTTGGTTTATATTTTAGAGAAAAAAATAGGCTTAAATATAAAAAATGTGTCCAAATTATGCCTTTTTTTAAGTTTAGCCTAAAGTTTATTTTGTTTCAGTTTTATAACGTTTCATTCCGTTACTCAAAATGAGTTAAGCCGTGACGGATCGTTAGTTTTCTCTATTAAGTGACACGTGTTACAATCTGATAATTTTGAATTTTTTGTTTGTTAAAATATTAAAAATATTATTATATTTATAAAAAAAACTCTTACAAAAAAAACCTCAAAATCTCTAAAATCCTAACACTAACTTGTTGTCGCCGCCGCCGCTGTCCTTTCCGGCCACGACCACCGTCATCGATGTAGTCATTGTCATCACCTAGTTATAAGTCGTCGTAGTTGTCGTCGAAATTTCTTGGGATTGCGATTTTTATCATAGGGTTCACAGGGTATAAAACATCGATTCACCATCGACCAGTTACGATTTCATAGGGATTTTGATCGCTGGGGAGGTAAGGTTGGGTAGAGCTTTATCGACGGCGAAGGGCGACGGTCAGCGTTAAATTAAGGGTTGAAATGATTTTTTTTTTAATTTTGGGATTTTTTTAAAATTCTTTTGTTTTATTTTTTAAAAAATTTATAATTTTTTTTAATTGTATATAAGAATTTTAAAATTATCATATTGTGACACGTATCACTTAACGGAAAAAACTAACAGTCCGTCACAGCTTGATCCATTTTAAGTAACAGAATGAAATGTTAGACACCAAACTGAAACGAAATAAACATTAGACATTAAACTGAAAAAACAGACATAAATTAGACATCTTGTGTATATTTCAACAACAACAAAATTTGGTAAATTTTGTAGTTAATGTTCATACTATTTTGTTAAGTTTTTCTCCTTTTTTAATTTTCTTTTCGAACTGTCTTTAAACCTTTTGAAAAAGTCATAGCTTTTTTTAACGAAAATATTAACCAAAACATTAAATCCTTAATGGTACTAAAGTAAAATTCACATGAATAAAGTGAACGTAGATTGAACGTTTAGTTAAATCAAGTGAATGATACAACAATTTATGTCGTTAAAGTGAATAATGAATTAAATTGAGTGACAAGATTTTAAATTAAAGATATTTAAGTTGATTGAAGTCAATTAAAATTATCTAATTTAAATTTAAAGCTTAGAGAAAATAAATTTAAAACCATTTGTTTGTCTAATTTAATTTTTTTTCCAAAGTAATAAACTCGAAACTCTAATTCTACGGGAAATCCTAATCCTAAACTCTAAAGCCCGGAAATGAGGTGGCTTTCATTTCAAGCTTTAACTTTGGTACGGTAGTACACACTTGAAGTCACAAGCAAATGTTTTATTACTAAATTGAATCAGAGGCAGACAATGAAGGAAACTCAACCACTACAGGATAAGGGTACCTCCCCTCTGAACATGTGGTTGCATATAGTTTTACAAAAAGTGAACAATCATTACCAAAAGTACAGATAATGGTTGAAAATTTATCTAACCTCACCACTGGGAAGGATGATATATGGCCACTAGAAAACCAAGTTTTCTAAAACAACACGAGCCAGCGATGCTATTTCAGCGTGCAAATCAAAAGTTAAAAAGATAAACATAAAGGGAGGATAAAATGCAAAACCAGAAAATGTCATCAGATAACAACAATCAATGAATAGGATCAATATGAAGTAGCCCAAACAAAAGATGTATTTTCTCTACCACCTTGCATGGATTGGAACTAGAAGAACAGACTGACAGATGCATATGGATATGACTTGAGTTTCAAGCTTTAAACATGCATGAGGAGTGCATATTATGTTGAAGCTCAAATTTCCATATCAGTAGAAAGAATTATGATGTTCTTCCTTTACCATTTACTCAATCATTACGTGGTATTCAACTACTAGAATACAGACATGGATAATGAAAAACTATATCCTCCCATCAAACAAAACAAGGGATGCAACTAATCTAAATAATTGAGGACCACCGAAAAAGTTTACGTACACACCTCAAATAGGACGAGCTCAATTTACAATGATGCTGTCAGTCCCGAAGGCCAAGTTCAAACTCAAGTTCATCATCTTCTTCAAACAACTTCAAAAGACGGGCATATTGTTCATCTCGTTTCTTCTTTTGCCACAACTTGAAAAGGAAAAATGAAATCAATCCTACTACAGCAAGCCCGAACAATACGATGACTAATATGGCCGCGGTATTACTATTTGCTTTTGAGCTGTTGTCTGAATTTTTGGAGTCATCAGAAAAACCTGAAGAAAAGGAAACAATTCGAAGCAAATTGTTTAACAGATTCAATATGAACAATCTTTACTTTTAATGTCCGTTCCAGCAACTTAACCAGTATCCCAATAAAATTCAGCTGCAAAAAGGTTCAATGAGACTAAAAAGCACGTACACCAATAATAAAGAACAAGGAACCCTTACCCTAACGAAGTATGCAAGAAAACTACAAGGACCTATTTCAAAACAAATAGTTTCATGTCGACTCCTTTCAATCTAATACCAAAATTTCATGGAAATTGGATTAAGAGGGTTAAGTTTGAACTTTGAAGAAAAAAACTTAACCTTAATCATGCTACTTATACCGCTACATAGCAGATTTATTATATAGTTTGAGATCCACAAAATCAGGTAAGATCTCGGAATCACATTACATATCTATTCAACCTTCAAAGTAAAAAAAAAAATCAACATTTTATTAGTAAAATTTCTCCTAGCAAACTGTCAAAAAAAGAACAACTCAAGTTATAGAATTTAATTAAAATAAAAAATTCTTTCCACAAATCTCACGAAAAGATGGGTACAAAATGCTTTAATTTTCACGTTCGTTCTATGTTCATTTCCTTGAAGCCAAACAGATAATACTAAGCAATATTAAAAAGCAATCAATACATAAATCTTCCGATCTCGATTCTCGAATACGTAACCTGAACGAATTGACAATACAAATAAACGTGATCTTCACGCTGTCAATGATTCGAATGCGGACCAAAATAGAATAATGTTTCAATTAAAGAATATAAAATTCTTTCAAACAACAGCAACAAACAAAAGCGAGTAAAAAAAGTGATCTAGAAAGAAACCTGGAGTGAATTGTAGATAAACGGAAGCGAAAATCAGTAGGAAACGAACCGATCTACTCCTTGAAATTTCAGTCATTCTCTCAATCTCTCTTTCCCGCGGCAGAGAAAGAGGAGTCGGTCTTTTCCTCGACCTACAATCTTCCAAATTCTCTGACAAAAGAAGCCGATTTTTGCAATGTTGCCAGGCCTTTTATATATATTTTTTTAGTAATTATTATCATTTTTTTTAATTTTTAATAGTTAAGAATTCAATAAAAATATTTTAAAATTAAAATTATTATATATATTTTTTAATAATAGAGATTCAACAAAATAATATTTTAAACTATTATTGTATTTAATACCTTTAAATTTTAAGGTAAAATACATAAATAATACATTGACTATAGATATTGCTTGTTATTCTCGATTAAAAATTTAAAAATGATTTTTTGACTATAAGACGTTTTGTTGAGTTTTCCGACAATTAAAAGTTATAAAATGATCAATTGACTATTTATATGTTTTTAATTTGTCATTTTCTTTAAAAAAATGACGGTAGTTTGAATTGAATGTTAACATGCTGACTAAGATATAATAAAATTTGATTTCATCATCTCAAACGACTATCATATCTCAGTTAGCATGTTAACGTCCAGCTCAAACAACTATTAATTTTTTTAAAAAAAAAGAATAAATTTGAAACATAATGAATAATCAAATGATCATTTGTTAACTTTTAATAGCCAAATGACTTAACAAAACAATATTTTATAGTCGAAAAAATATTTTATAACTTTTAATAGTCGATGGACTCAATAAAATAATATTCAGAAGATCATTTGTTTACTTTACCTTAAATCTTATTAAACTCATTTTTTATTAAGTAAAATCAAATTAATAACTAAATTGTATTTACACATATTATTTATATACGGTAGGATTCAAATTTAGGATATTAAACAAGTTACTAATTATTTTCTTACCACATGATTTTTGACATCCATAATAATGGTAATTAACCATAATACTAATTTTCGCAGAAACTACGTCGTATTACTTTTTCCTTTTACCTATTCTAAATCATAACTAATTATCTATTAAAAAATAATTCCAATTTCTCATATTACCCCTAACAGCTACCGCCGATACGTAGAACTGTTTAGGGCCTTTTCGTCATATTGCACACCAAATCATTATCAACGCGCAACATGAGCGGTATATTTGGCACCAATTCCAAGTTCTAACCAAAGACGTAAACGAAAAAAATGGCGAGGAGAACGGACGACGAATACGATTATTTGTTTAAGGTTGTATTAATCGGCGATTCTGGTGTAGGAAAATCTAACTTGCTTTCCCGATTTACTCGGAACGAATTTTGCTTAGAATCTAAATCTACCATCGGAGTCGAATTCGCCACCCGCACTCTACAAGTAACAGTTCTCCCTCTCCCTCCCTCTCTCTCTCTTTTTCATTTTTGTTTTTATTTTTAATTAGTTGTATTTTTCTAATGAAGTATAAGTTTGATTTCTTTAGGCAAATTGTTTCCAGTCCTTAACATGCAGTAGATCTGATTAGTTGCTTGTCTATTTGAATTTCTCTTAATATTTTTGTTTGGATTCCAATAATAGTGTAAATCGAGTGATAACAAACATCAGTGTAAGATTCTTGAACATTTCTTAAATCTATGAGTTTGTTGGATGTTTATTAGTAGTGAATTTGGTAAATTCATGGTTTTTAGACTTTCCGAATATTCAAATTTATTGTACATATATGCGTTTCGTTCTTACGGTTTTTATAGCAAATGAAATCCTGAATTTTGAATTCGTGTTCACGACATAGTACTAAATTGTGGTTGTGGATGTGGTGTCGCGGTTGCGGATGTTGTGAACGTTACAGCATGTTTTGTTTCCTAAAATTAACTATGTTTCTAAAATACGATTGCGGAGTCACGGCAACTTAAAAAACATTTACGATGTTACAATTACACTGCCTTGCGGCCGCAATTTAGTTCTACGGTTTCGCGAACATAACATGAAGAAATGAAGTTGGTTAAATCTTATTGTTCTGGTTTGGTCATCTTTAGTGGGTTCTCTTTGTATTATGAATTTATGATTGGAAATTGGGTACCAAATAGTGTTCCTATATGAGAAAAGTATATGTTTGAAAACATAAATTTAAAAATTCGGGTTCGGATTTCATATGCTATATGAATTGTGAGAAAGGAATTCATACATTCTATATAATTTATAAAAGTTCAATATCATTATTGTGATAGTATGAATTTCGATTGCACAAATATGTATAGGTAATTCAAGTTCATTACTGAAAAAGCATCACAAATCCATACATTTGAGAAATAGGTGTTGTTGATTGGCTAGTTTATTCATCATTTATCACCTCAAGTTCAGGAGATGATTATGGTCTTATTTTTGTAAAAGAAATGCATGATAAAGTGATAGAACTCTGGCGATGCTAATCCACATTTTGATGTGAAAAAGTATGCAACTGGTGTTTAAGATTGAAGGGTATTCTTTTAATTACTAGAACATGTTGAATTTGAGTTGTAATTTTTCATTTGAAAGGGTCCCAGCTTATGGTGCAGTGATAAAAGTCTTGCGTTGTTGCTTTCGAGTCATGTTTGTCATTAGGTCCAAGGTTCGACCATCTTAAAACTGATCGAAGGTAAATAAGTTTAGATTTTAGTCCTATTCATCTCGTTCGGAAACGATATGCGTGTGTTGATCTGTCTTTCTTTTTTTGCTTTTTTCTCATGCATGTTAGCCATAAGAAATACAGTCATGCCCCGAGTGTGATAAGGCAGATGTTCCTCCTGTCAGGTTGAGGGAAGAACTGTGAAAGCACAAATATGGGACACTGCCGGTCAGGAACGGTACAGAGCAATAACCAGTGCTTACTATAGGGGTGCCCTTGGAGCTCTTCTGGTCTATGATGTTACCAAGCCGACAACATTGAAAACACTAGCCGATGGCTGAAGGAACTCAGGGACCATGCAGATTCTAATATTGTGATTATGTTGATCGGGAACAAGACTGATTTAAAGCATCTCCGAGCAGTTGCAATGGAGGACGGTCAAAGCTTTGCCGAGAAAGAGGGACTTTCGTTCATCGAGACGTCTGCACTGGAAGCAACAAATGTTGAGAAGGCTTTACATACCATTCTCTCTGAAATATACCGTATAATTAGTAAGAAATCACTTTCTTCAGATGAACCGGCACCTGCGAGTATTAAGGAAGGGAAGACCATCGATGTCGGAACTTCGGAGGTCAACATGAAAAAGGCTTGCTGCTCATCATCCTGAACATGATCTTTTTATTCACTACAATCCTCAGTTCTTTTTGGGTATTAAATTTGTGCTTTATCGTCCAAGTCTGTATTTTTTGTGACTATTACAAACATTTGAACCATTCATGCGCTTGTATCATTTCCAGTTATTGATGATTTTGTTTTGAAGGGATGGTATTTCTACAACCTTTTTGTAAAATCCAAACCCAAATTTATTTTAAAATTTCAAAATTGTTATTTTATTTTCACTAAATTTAAATATTAATATTTTAATTTTAATCGATTAAATTATTTACCAAGTGTCCTCATTCATAAAAGGGAATATTGTTCTCTTTTGAGATCTTACAGCTACATCTCAAGAAGAAAAAAATATTATACGAATCCACAAGCAAATCAGATATCCACCTAAATTATAAAACATAACATCACTTGTCTTGAAAATTTTACTCTTTCTAAAAACAAGCCTAGTGAACTGATTACATGCTAATCCAACAGAATAAGACATTAGACCATTCAAGTAAAATTGATCATATAAATCTTGATATTTGAACGGAAAAAATTAAATTAAGAAAATAATATTTACAGTAAATCTTTGTAATATCCAATTTAATTCAGCCAATCAATGACCCAAATTCTGATGACAATACCAAAACTACTTCTAGTGAAATGTGTCAGCTTATATGTCCAAAAATAAGTTTCCTTTTTTAGCAACTCTTTCTAAAATGCTTTGGCTTAATAAAACGGAGTTACCAATAAGGAACCGTTATTTGTAAATTGTAACGGTTTGAATCGCTCTGCCCATTGATGAGTTGGGAGGTCATAGCAATCCACTTCAGTTCCATTTAAATTTGGCTTAGTTTAGCAAAGATACGCAAATGGTAAGTAATCCAAATATTAAGAAAAAAGTTATTAACAAGCATCACAACTTGTACTTACAACAGAGGGTTCAAGAAGGTAGAAGTTTTAGTGTCTGAAAGGTTCATATGACATACATGTTTATGGTCTCTAAAACAGAGTTATATCGTTACATGGTTGACTAGCCGCAGCAGTTGTTCTTCTCAATCGGCTGTCCCTTCATTTCAACGGCTCCGGTTGACCTGTTCGCAGCTGGCTGGCTACCCATTCTGCAAAGATTTTGATAACAAACCATATAGGTAAAGTTCATTAAGAATATAAATAAATAAATAAAAGGTGGAGATCTGGACAGGAATGAAATGATTTTTTGGACAATCTAGGCGGGTGAACTCCAGAAAAAACAAGCAATGCAAGAGCCAAGTGCTATGAAGTGCAGTGAGGAACTATTGGTCAGTGACAGTGGTGAAATCTTACTAATAAACAATAATCAATTACTAGCAAACAAGTAAATAACTCGTAGCAATTTTTTTTTCCAAAAAAAAAAGAGGAACATATGGAAGAGTTGAAGTCATCTTACTTTTTCTTGATTTCGCCGGCCATGGTTAAGAAAGCCTGCTCCACATTAATTGAATCTTTAGCACTTGTCTCCAGGAAGGGAATCCCAAGTTCATCAGCAAATGCCTGAAGTTCATTGAACAAAAAAATCGCCAATTAATCAAATTATGATGCCTGCAGTAAGTTCTCATCAGCAGCAGCAGCAGGTTGCATTTGTTTATCAAATTTCTTATTTTAACAATAATCAATATCCACTAGTTTTGAAAGTAGAGGAACATCTCTGGCAAATAAGAGAATTAACCTATGATAGAAGTTTAAACATTAAAGTAACAAAATATACCTTCACTGTTTGCGTGTCAACAACCTTGTTCTCAACTAAATCACATTTGTTGCCAACAAGAAGCTTGCATACACTGTCATTCGCATATCTATCGATCTCATTCAACCACTGCTTGACATTATTGAAGCTCTCCATCTCAGTAACATCGTAGACAATCTGTTGCAATCCCAATACACAAAAAGGCTAGTGAAACACTTGAGCAGAGAGAAAAAAAAGTGAAATACAAAAGTGATATCCTTAACAATCATTTCACAAGAAAAAAAACATAATCTTGTTTTGAGCTCTTCAATATGCTAAGATCTGAAAATATCTTAAAAAGTAGACCCCTTCTTTCACCAACTTGAGAAATGCATGATAAGACAGGCAGTTCTGGAACAAAATCCGTATTTGCAATAATAGAAATCAACTAAAAGACTAAAAGATGATCAAATTTGTTTGAAACACACCCCAAACCCACCACCAAGGTCTATTTTGATAAATTTTTATGATTCAAAGATCAGTCGGCTTCAGTTTCTTACTATTATCCCATGTGCTCCTCGGTAATAACTGCTCGTGATAGTTCGAAAACGCTCCTGTCCAGCAGTATCCCACTAAACAAAGAATAGTAAAATATCACGTGTTAACACTAGACAGCCATGGTCAATTGTCAGGGAAAAAGAAATTGGATAAACAAATTAAACCTGTCCTATAAACACCACCAACACCATCCCATTGGCCACAACTAAAATTCCTGCATCAGTTACACAATTTAACTCTCTTCTTAGGTCATCAAAACTTAGGTTAGTTTAGCTATGAAAGCCCTCACTTCCTATTAAACTCATAAGTAAAGACAAACATTCATAGTGGCCTGTGGCCCTTTAACATCAATGCTGAAAAATATAGTATAGTTCAACCACATAATATATAGGCATAGATTCTTTTTTATGTTATAGTGGCTAGTGATCTGAGGGGGAATTCTCCTCCTCTCTAGGTTCTCTCTAGGCAGTGATCTGAGGGGTTTAGTGTTCCAAATGGCTCATAGTTCAGGGAAGGAAGGTGAGATAGTAACTTTGTTTGTGCAAAACATACCACCTTCTTATCATTGGAGTGGGTTGAGACATCTTTTCGGGAGGTATGGTGATGTGATTAGTTCTTATATAGCAAGGAAAAATGAAAGAACAGGAAAGCGCTTTGGCTTTGTTAGATTTTACAACAGAGGTGACACAGTTAGAGCAGTCCAAAGATTAAATGGATTCTGGTTATTTGGATACCGTTTATTAGTCAAAGAAGCTCGGTATGGAGCCAAGAATCAAATTTGGAAACTGAAATATCCTTCAAATTCCAATGCTACAACCAGGGTAGATCAAGGAACAAGCGTTAGTGGAGAATGTCCGGAGGACCTAGCAAGAACGAGGACCAGGTTAATACAGGGGGATGTAGATGAGGAAGTTGTTCGTAAGCTCCAGAAGTGCCTTGTGGGAACGATGGCAACGGTATGCTCTTCAAGTCAGGTAGATGACAGACTACAAGCAGGTGGCCTAGGAGAAATTAAGACCAAGTTCCAGGGAGGGAGAGATTTCTTATTACATATAGTTGATGAAGAGTTATTCAGGACCTTGAAGAAGGAGAACTGGTCGATTTTAAATGAAGTTTTCTAGGTAGTCCATCCTTGGTCAGAATCATACAGAGCATCGGAAAGAGTAACATGGATTAAATTGTTTGGAATGCCGCTACACTGCTGGAACCACAACACTTTTAAAAGGATAGCACAGCAATGGGGAGATTGCTTAGCGATGGGAGAAAACGCATTTCAAGAATTGGGTTGCGAGGAGATGTCTATTCTGATAGCAACTAGTAGGAAAAAACTAATTGATGAAGTGGTAGACTTGGAAGCAGGTAGAGATATATTTAGGATTAGGGTAGTGGAATCTCCCACAATCAGTAGTGATTCATTGTTTCGAAAGCGAGAAGAAAAAGGAGGTGCGTTTGTAGTCGATTCTGAATCTTCGACAGGAAGAAGTGCGGACTCATTGGAAGAAAAGAGTTTCGTGAGGTGTTCTGAGGAAGAAGACAGTCAATTTTGCTATATGGGGAACAGAGCTAGAGGCAGTATTTTGTCGGGTGAGGACGAGCAGGAAAGGAATATAGGGGAGGAATTAATTATGGGTTTGAGGAATATTGTTGTTGGTCAGGGGAAGGCTCAAACGCAAATCGAGGTAGCGGTGGAACACGAGGATGTGTTGGAGCACGCGGAGAGAGAGGCAGAAGATGACAACAGGAAAAACTGTGAGGATGCACGTGATTTTGAGGGAATGAAGGATTATTTTATAAATTTTCCCATCTTGGATGGTCGATTAGAGTTAAAGGTGGGGGAGGATGTGTCTAATATGGGCCTTTCAAATATTGGTGCTATCAATAGATCCAAGGGAGAGGAAGTCCAATAGGATGGGGCTGTGGTAGATTGAGTGGATGGTAAACCCAAATCGGGGATGTTTTGTGAGGACTTGGACTAAAGCCTTTGCTTGTCAACACAATTGAGGGCCAATTTTTTCACAAACAATTCCAGGCATAACCAGAGAGCAAAGGAGGGGAAAAACAATAAACATAGCTCTCTCCAAATAATTCAAGAGAAATTTAAGGCTCCTCAAAGGAAGTCTACATTCGGCCGAAGTAAGAACAATCAGAAGAAGGTGCAACGTGAGGAAGAAGTGGGTATAGGGTCTAACGGTTCACAAGTGTTTTTGATTTCGGAAGACTATGGTAGTGGAAGAATTGGAAGGTGTGTCACATTCCCTATTTATTGATCTCTAGCTGTTTTCAAAGGAAGTAGATTGAGATGAGGATCTTAGCTTGGATCATACGAGGGATGGGCTCAAATGTTTTATTTTTCTGAACTGAGGAGGATTGTTGGATACATAAGTATGAGATTGTGATGACTCAAGAAATAAAATGAAGTGAATATTTTCAGGTGATTCACTTAAGTTTACTGATAATGGAGATGGAGGGTCAAATGGTCTCCGACAACAAGACAAGCATTTAGTGGTAGAAAGGCGGATAGAGTGATTTCGAAGCTTGCTTTTTGGTACACATATCGTGTGGAAGTTCATGGCTTTTGTGTTAGAATTTGGCTTCTTTGGAATGAGTCAGTTGATATTTTTGGCCTCTATTATAGTTGTATTGTTTTGCGTTGTATTTCAGGCCAAGTTTAGGCTTTAAGCCTTTTTTGGTGTTCTTAGATTGATTATCTAGTTAGCCGAATTAGAGGCAGTTGTTGTAGCTAAGATGGATTAGGTTGTGTTAGTGTTGTGGTATAGGGTTGTTTTCAGTTGGTTTTGGTTTTATGTTTATGTTGGGGGTGGCTCTCTGGATGTATCTTATGTAATTTTTTATGTTTAATGAAATCTTAAGGCACTCTTTTCCACCTTCTGCTGATTAAGGAGCTTATCTACAAGCTCCTTTAATCAAGAAGGAGGTTTTTAACGAGTCCTTCAATTCCTATAAAAAAAAACCCACATAATATATGTTTTGGCATATTATTTCTTCTATGAAACCATCATTCGAGAGTCTCACAGTTCAACTAGCTTTACTGGATGGAATGTAAAATTATAAAGTCTCGAAAAATACTAATTGAACAAGTTTTGAGCAGAAACAAACTTCAAAACAACAATTTTAGGCTTAAATGAGCATGATCCCGAATACCTAGCACCACTTTCTTTGAAGAAACATGTTTATACTCACAATTTGCAGCTTGATTGTCTTGCCATCCAGCCCCACAGTTCTGATTTTCTAAATATAAACAATTAAACAAAATAAATTCTCACATTCTTTAATACATGAAACAAACTTCCATGCATTTGTGCGACAGAGAGAAAGAAACTCACAAAATCAACACCAATGGTACTGATGTAGCTATCCACGTAAGAATCATCCTGGAAAAATTAAAGAGGGAAAAAGCACTTAAAGTCCTTAGCTCCTAATTAACGTAAGATTAACCTTAAAATCAAGCTCATCAATCACTATTCTTAATTAAACGATAAAAAATTAACTAAAAAGCAAATCTACGATGTCAAAACAAGTAAAAATAAATAAATGAAAAGCAAATTTAAATTTAGAAAAACAATAACAGTTACAAGAAATTAAGCTTACAGCGAATCTGAGAAGCAAACAAGATTTCCCGACGGAGGAGTCGCCGATAAGCAGAAGTTTGAACAGATAATCGCTAGAAAAAAATATACATATATGGAGAGGGAAAAGAGCAAACAATCAACTTTTTCAAAAGAAATGCGAGTAGAAATATACAGAAAATAAAATTAAAGAGGAAGGCTCACTATTCGTTGCTCATTTTGAGATCCAAAAGACTTGAAGATTCTTTAGACGTAGTGTTGAGCAGAGAAAGGGAAAGTTCGTGTTTTTTTTTTTTTTGGATAATTATGTTTTTAGTTTTTATGTCAACACTGAGAAGTTTTCTTTCGATTTCCGCTCTATCAGTTTATCCGTCCAACATTAATTATTTGGGTAAACTACAGTGATAGTCACTTAACGTTTAGAATGAATTCACTTTGATCATTAAAATCTAGGGGGGTGTAAATGAACTGAGCTTGAACGAACAAGACTGTGATCTTGTTCCGTTTAATTATTTTTAAAGGTTTTCCTGTTTGATTCGTGTTTGTTTAATTTTTTAATATACTGCTCAGGTTAGTTAGTTTATTTTTGAAGGTATTTGTATTCGTTCATTTAGCGTTCACAAATATGTTCGTTTAATGTTCGCAAACATATTCGTTTAGCATTCGTTTATTTGTCCATTTATATATTCGTGAACATCTTCAATTAGCGTTTGCAAACATGTTCATTTGTAAGCTAAAATGATAAAATTATGTTACATGCTTAAACTCCTTAAGCTTCATAGTTTAAAACTCTAATTTTTATCATGTGCTCAATTTAGTACTTACATTCACTAATATTTAAAATGTAAAAAAATAAAAAAAAATAAACAAACTTCTAAACAATCCATTAGGCGAGTTTGTTCATTAACATAAACGAACGAGCCGATAAACAAGTTTGTTCGTGAACATAAACAAACTAAACACACCTATGTTCATGTTCGTTCGTTTGTTAAATAAACATAAATTTTTTGTTCATATTCATTTAATTAGTTACATAAATGAACAGTTCACTTAACATCGTGTTAATTTACATCCCTATTAAAATCTAAAAAATTTCACTATAATAATTGAATTTAATAAGTACTTTTATTTCGATTAATTTTACGTTAAAAGCTAAGTCATCATGTTCACATATTTAACGTTAACTTAAACAGCATGTCTATTTATCATTTTTCTTCTTTTATTTTGATCACATGTCATTTAATATCAATATATTATATTTTTTATAAAATAATATCCTCGAAATAAACACATGCAATTTTTATTACGTTTTATTTATCTTCTTCATTATTTTTTAGTTTACTAATAGAAATTTTAAATAATTTTTATAAAATGAATATATTTTAATTTATAAATATATTTTTATAATATTTTATAATTTATATTATAATTAATAATTTTTATAAAATAGAATTGATTATTTTCAAATATAATTTAATCTAAATGTTATTTATTTCAATTTTATAATAAATATCTAGTTTAAAATAATGATTAAACATTAAATTTCTTCAGGGTATCATTACCATATTTAATTTATTTTTTATTGACTAATAAGATTGTAATATTTTATTACTTTATGGTGACATGTCAACATCATCGTTAAGTTTTTAATGGCAGGATACCAAAATGAAACATAAACTAAACATTAAGTATGATATTTAAAAAAAGTATGGGTATCAAAATGGAACAAAAGTAATAGTTTAGGTACTAAACATGTAATTTATCCAAAAAGAAATAAAGACTATAAAACATGGGATTTATATTTTTATTATAATTTCTGCGGTTCTAATATCTCAGATCAAAGAAATGTGAGAGAGCTCATGCAGCATCAGCATGCATGCATGGACAGCAATTTGCACTCCGATAAATAATGCTATGCTTCCTATTTTCATTTGAAATTAATATATAGATTCCAACAAAAAGAAAGGGATAATTCCCCACGAGACAGCATCAATCAGCAATATGATAAACTTGTAAGATCATCACTCTGGGCAGAATGGCCTCTCCAAGCTATCCTTGTGGTTAGGGATTCTGATGTGTCTAAGCCTCCCTTCTTGCTTTTTCATGTACCCTTCACTTAAGAATGCCATGGATAATTTGTCTTCGATGGCTCGGTTCACATCGTTCACAAACACATCGGTCTCGCCTTTCTCTTTATTCCTCGCCATCATACCCGCGGTGTATATGGCGTTCATCCTCCCTGGAGCGTCCTCGTGGTTCCGGTCGGGGCGTCTACCATTATCAAGTCCCATTTCATCTCATAAATTTCACTTGGCAAACCTTTCAATGCAAGTTGGCACATTGAGTATTTAGGGTCGACGATCGCCGCGCATTCGGATCCTCTGCATACATCCATGAGATTATCGGCTTGGTTCACCTTGCTGTCATATGTGACATGATAGGATTCTAACATGGGAAACCGACGACGGATTTGATCGATCCAAGCCTCGTCTTCTTCGAGGAAAACTGTCCGTCTACCGAAGTTGAGCGAACTCCACATAAGGCTGTCGTGGCCTAGGCCGAATATTAGGAAGTTGCACGGTGACTTTTTCTCTAGGATTTTCGCCATGACCGAGATCTCTTTCTGCGTTTGCTGTGGAGTGATACTAGAAGTCGCATAGTGGATGAGAGCTCGGGCGAGAGCGCGGTATCTTGTCGCATGACGGCGAGCAATCAGCCGTGCTTTTGCTCTCTTTGACAGCACTAGATGTTATAGCCGGTGCAAAAGTTCGTAATGTGCTCGTAGACAATGTGTTTTCTTCATAAGACGACGATAAACTTGATCTCGACACAAAAAGGAGGAGAAAAGCAAAGAAAACCCCCAAGAGAAGGACCTTAAAATTGAGTTCTTGACTGGTCTTAGGCCTCATGTTTTGTCTGAAATGTTTGAAACAAACAAATATTACAAGAAACTCGAGAACTGGTTTGGCCTTTTGTCCCTTTCTCTGATATTTTAAACAAAAATGGTGGTGCAGGGTATGATATTTGGTTTCATTATGCTTGGAAATGAAGTGAAGAAGCATCAGATACTTGACGAAGACATAACATCTACAAGGATTGTGAATGAAGCGACACTGTGGTTGGCACACATCTACAAGTTTGGTGGATTTCATTAAATTAGGGTTCTTCTTTTGTTTCTGTTTGGGATTTCATGGATTTGACATGCTTCCTCTCTTAATACCCAAATTTGTTGCTTTATGAGATCATTCATTTTTAAGGTGTAACAGCAATGCTTGATTTGGGAAGCCTTAGTTTTCAGAATTTGTTGGCTGAATGATATTTCAAACAATAATAGGTTATTGAGTATTGATACGGACTTGGAAGTTAAATTTTCTATTTCAGCAATGGAAACTTTCATGATATCCAATCTCGATTCGAAATCAAAATTAATAAAATTGGACTCACTCAAGTTAAATCAAATTTGGATCAGATGAGGCTGATAACCTGCCATTGGAATAAATTAAGTGATAGTACATTGTTTAGTGATATATATGCTATTGTCTTGTACAGAATTGGTTAGTGATATATATATGCTATTGTCTTGTACATAAAGCAAGACAGATGACTGCAATAAAAAGTAGTGCATCCTTGTACAAAAGCATGACAAAAATATGCTACAACAAGTTTGTAAGGGTAAAAATATCAACTGAATTGAGTGATACGAAAGCTCAATACTTGTTAAACAAGGTCTCAAGTTCAGGTTATAGCCTTTAAGATTCCAGTAAATTCGAGATAATGATTCCGCCATTACAAAAACAAATGCAGTGATCTTAATAAATTTATACGAAAGCCAATTTAGCTGTACAAAGCATAGTTCTGAAAGTTGGAACAATGACAGGCCTCTAACTAAGGTAACAACAAAATGGCCTGTAAGTAAATTTCAAAAAAGATAAATCACCAATTCCCCAAATAGCAATCAATATTGTCGGTCGTCCGAAGGGTGGAGGGGTTAGAACTTCTGAGTGAACTTTGGCGGGAAAGGTTATCCTTGCTGCAGGGTTGAAAATCCCTGGGAATTTATTGAACATCATCTGGTAGCAAGATTTGTCGAACCTCCAAAAGAAAATAATTCTTCCTAATAACTATACCATGATATACTGCTGAGCTTCTGGACCGGAGTGGAAGCTTCTTACCGGTTTGTCTCCTGCCTTTTCTCAGGTGTTAAAGTAACGATTCAGTCTGTCCATTGTGATCAAGGTTAGTTTTCAACTTTTTCTTGTCTGAACGAGCTCTGCGGAAAGCATTCTGAATCCGTCTCTCTTGCTCTTTAAGCATTTCCTCAAGGTTCCCACCATGAGGCAACAATGGTCCAGAATAATGGATTCGGTTATTCATGGAAACATAGCCCTAGATTCACAGACAAAACAAGTGTTAGCAACTCCAGACAGTTGAAACTGATAAATTTTGTGGTTCATTGCTCCACGAATATTGTAAAAGCAAATGTTATAAACTATTTTCTTTGCCAAGAATTTGCTTTCACCTTCAGTTATCATGGATTTTCTAGGAAATGGCTATCACATAAAAACCTTATATTCAGAAATCAGTTGTCACAATAATGGGTGTTGAAACTATCAGTAAAGGAAAAGAAACAGGATGTCTAGGGCAAAAAAACACGAATGATAAAAACCGATTCTGTTTACCAAGTTCCCTTACCACTGCTGATTCCTTGTAAGATGGTTGTTCATCCTTCACATTCGAACCCTTTGGCCTATTGAGTAAATGATGGGACAATTCATGCTTTTCAGAGGACTCCGCATTACCCAGAAGGTTATATCCGGCATTAAAATGCTCCTCTGGCCAGTGAGGATTTATGCTATTCTCTTTCGTCATATCAAACCGTGAACTGCCTCTAACTGCAATTGAATTAGAAAATCTGGACAATTCCAATGTTGCACGATGGACATGTGTTGTTTCAGATCTCAACTCTTCAAGCTTCCTAGGAGTACCAAACGCTTGAGCTGATGCCTTCATAGACTCAATCTCATTCGTTTTCTTATTCCGTGAAGAGCCAAATCTACTAGGCTGCATTGAACGGTTTTCTGTTTCTTTTGGAGGCTCGATAGGGAATGCAGCACCCCTGTCTTCTTCAGTGTAGCATACTTCACTGGCACTTTTTCCATTGAACTGTCCTCGCCGCTTCTGTATCAAGCAATATAGTAAACATCAGTTCTGACCAAAAGACTGATTTTCTGTTGGAAAGTGTTTAAACACGACATTGAATGCCATCATAAGCATATGCATTGCGCAAAAGCAAATAAATCTTGCAAGTAAGAAAGAACCTGTATGGATGTTTGTAACTCAGCATTGAAATCTGGGGCAGGAACAGCTATAGATTCTCTTGAAACCCTTCTAACAGTATCATGTGCATGTACTTTTCCACCAGCAGCTCTTTGCCTGGTTTTCCAGTTAACACAAACAGGAAGAACAATTGTTTTATACCTTTTTAAGGGAAAATTTAGAGAGCAAGAACATAATCAATAACACAAACCACGAGTCAAATTGAGAATTTCATCTCTTACATGTGCAAATGACAATATAACCCAAACCAGTTGGGTTACGCTATGCCTCGCCCGACTCTTTAGGGTCTTTTTCTTTCCGGAAAATTGGCTCAGGAGATGGGGTGGATTTTAATTAAAAATTTTCAGTATGGGGTGGGCATGTTTAAATCAAACCCGTCAGCAGCGAAAAGTTTATCAAAATACCCCTCTTTTAATTTTAGAATATTTTAATTCATATAATATAAAAGACTTATGTGATATTCTGAGGCAGGTAGAATTGGATTCGGGAGAGTTTTTCTTTTTTTGGATCGGATGTCGGATTTAGGTGTTCAAGTTTTTTTTTTTAAAAAAAAAATTGGGTTCAGGGCAGAGTCAAGGAAGAAGATATACAAGTGAGGTCAGTGGCTGGCTGAGCAAAAAACAGTCCCACCGCACTCGGTTGCTATCCCTACTTTCTTGTGGAGGAGAGATTTAGTACGTTCAGTTTCCTTCCTTAGTTTTTAATTAGCCATCAAAGTTTATGTTTAGGATATGATCCAAAAATATAACAATTTTCCTAATTCGACACAATGTCCAATGTAGATCACAAATAAATTACAAATGCTTCCAGCATAATGAACTAAATGGCCAGAATATCAGTAAAAGTTTAATAAGCCACAATACAATTTTCACACAATCTTGTTTAAACATTGATTAGATAAAAAAATCAATACAAAGTAGGAGCAGATAATACCTTCTAGATTCCTCTTCTCGAAGCTTGACACCAAACTCCTGACTAGGTGGATACTTCGGCAAACTAGATGGATCACAGGGAAGAGGTTGTGTTGTAAAGAACTGGAAGAGAAAATTTGGATTTAAAACAAAATAACTAAAATGAAATATTTTCAATAAAAAGAATGTTAAGATGAAAAGGTAGGATAATCATAAGCAAGCAACATAGTTGTCATTCTAATGAACTACCCAGCAGGACCAAGACACAAGCTGTGCAGTAATAATTTCATAGTTGACATACCGAACATGTTATTTCTCAAGTAAGAGAAAGAGCTAAAGGATACCAATGAACCAAACAAACTGGGCAACTATAAAGAAGCAACTGATAACATTTCAAGCGCAGAAACAATATGCAAAGAAAGGCTTCTTGCTTACTATAAACAAGAATTTCTTCCCATTCTTAGCAAGTTAACCAAAAGGCATATTTGAATTCCCAACCATGAAAAAACATTATGAGTCAAATAATTAGTTGACCCTTAGTCTTAATTTGGTAAATACTTGTTCCAAGTTCACTATATAATTGTAGATGGCACTAACTTACGGGTATGTGAAATGTACCAAATGTACTCTCCCCCTGTTCTCTGATTTCTTCTAAAAAATCGCTATCACTTATCTCTTCCTTTCTTCTTTTTTCCTTCTTGCTCACTGTCTCTTATCTATTGTCCATATGGGATTGCATCTGAATTAGACTCTTATGAAGATTATGAATGGTACTATGTTCAAGGCAACAACATAGGGATTGAGACTTGGGATGATTCTTTTATCTTCTTTCTTGTATAAGAAAACTCACCAACTTAAATAGTTCTCAAGGACATCGGTTGAACTAACAGACAGATTGATCCCCAAAAAGGCTGTAAATATGGTAACAAGTAACAACTAAAAGAGCTTTGTTCTTGATGAAAATGCACACCTTAGAGGAATACCACATTAACTTTACCTCACTCTGAAGTGCTGAAGCAGCAGTTCCACGACACTCAGGTTCTATTGCAAGAAGAACCTCCAATAGGACCAAAGCAGATACAGGTAAGTCCTTGAAAGTCTCAGGGACACTACGTTTATAAGGACGTTGAGGTTTGAAAATGGTTGCATGTGCCAATTTTGATCTCTTCCAATACTCTTCAGAAGGTGATCCACATAGTTTGAAGATTTTATGCAGTTGTTCAACCTAAAAAGGAGAAATGATCATATGTCACACACGATAAATTAAACTACAAAGCTCAACTGCAAGTGTACTTCTATGAGTAAGTTTCAAATAATACCTTGTAGCTCAGATCCAGAGTAGATATTCATTGCATAATCATGCCATTAGAATGACAATTATATGGATAAATGTTGAATAACTTGTAGCAGTACATCAATTAAACCATGGTCCAGTAAATTATCAACTAAATTAGATGACCTCTGTTGGTTATATAGAATATGTCTACACCAGCAATACCCCCACCCCAAACCCACCTTAAAAGTAAACACAGACCCAACACAAACACATAATGAGAAAATAATTGGCTTCAAGATTATGTACCTAGATCATTGCAGAGTGCTGCTAGTATGACTTTCATGATTAATTTTGATATCTAGGTCTACCAATGTCATAATATAAAAAAGGGGCCCAAAATTCTTGTTGCATTTATATTTTTCCATCTTGTTAAGCGTGAGAACCAACATGCACACATCCACAAAGACACAACTAATATATATAGCCATGCATATACAAATGCAGTGATAATTATGTCATCATAAGAAGGAGGTTTCTTATTTCTATCATAAGAACAAAAACCTTCAAAGAAGCTACCATGCACTAGAAGTTTGAAATTATAGGTGTCGACACCCCAAAAAATGAAATAAGTACCTCAGTTCTTCCAGGCATGATAGGCTTCCCAGCAAATAATTCAGCAAGTATGCAACCAGAACTCCACAAATCAACAGCAACTCCATAATTTGTAGAACCAAGCAAAAGCTCAGGAGGGCGATACCATAAGGTTACTACACGACTTGTTAAAGGCTGCTTCTGATTGGGATGGAAAAATGTTGCCAGTCCAAAATCACCAATCTTGAGGTTTCCATTACAGTCTATCAAGAGATTTGAGCCCTTGATGTCTCGGTGCAGAACACCATGACTATGGCAATGGTTGAGTCCTCGGAGCAGCCGTTGCATATAACATTTGATCTGCACAGTTACACATAAAATTCAACACTTGAACACCCTAACAACCGAGTCCCATGTCTTTCATTTGAGTGAAAAAAAGGCTAAATATAATTCTTCACCATCAAATATAACACAGTATAATTAAAGGGTGCAACTTTGACAAAAATTGCTTCTATTTGTACAAGCAGCTAATAACTAAAGAAAGTAGTTTCAACCAAATTTGCTTTCCTTTTTGAGTTGTTAATTGTAACCATTTTTATCTATTTGCACAATATGTTCCATCAAAACCCAATGAAAAACCCCTCACAGTTCACAGTGCCACAGACTTCTAATGAAATTGTTTTCTTCCATCATGACTATACTCCTTTGAAGTCCAGAAAATTATAGGATCACATATTTTATGCTGATCTAAACAACATTAATCAAATAAACATCGAAGGTATGAATATACCTGAGTTTCAGTGAACTTAACCTCAGGTGCTGCTAAAAGCCCTGCAAGATCATGCTCCATGTATTCAAATATAAGGTATAGGCTTCCAGATGCCCTAGAAGTAATTAGACCTTCAAGCTTCATGACATTAGGATGATCAAGCCGACGCAAAATAATAATTTCTCTTGCCATGAAACAAACACTTTCAGGGTCCATATTAACAAATCGAACTTTCTTCAAGGCAACTAACTTATTTGATTCAAGGTCACGGGCTTTGTACACACTGCTGTAAGTTCCTTGACCAATCTACATTATTTGCAGGACTGTTAACTATATTTACTGAAAGAAGAAAAATAGTATACCATAAAAGATTACATCAATAAATCAAAGAACTAAACGACCTTACAGATTGCCATAATTTGTAACAAGATGCACATTAACAAAACACATTTTCATTTTGTCTGCAACGTAGTAGCTAATTCATGTATTATATATTTCAAAGCAGATATGCATAAGAAAACCCCGAATTTCTGGAATGGACAGAATACAAGAATCAAAACTATAATAAATAAGCAATAAAAGATAAAGCTATTGAGCAGACCTTCTCCAACTTCTCAAATGACTCTGCCTTCCGAGGTATCCATCCATTGATAGCTTCCCCAGCTACTGCTGCTAGCCAAGAAGGCCAACCGGCGACCACCTGTGCACCTCTCTGGCCACCAGTTGCATTCACAATCCTGGATATCCTTGGCTGCCCTTGTCCACCCATTGCCTCGGTCTCCATTGTTGAATGCGTTTGCAGCTGGGATGGGGTCCTCTTAGACCTATCAACAACCGCCGATGCTGCCTTCTTTTCCTCATCATCAGAAGAGGGTGAAGGCCCTGAAACGGCACTATTGTTTGGCTGTTGATCCGAGATCAACCTTGCAGTGGCATCTATCTCAACTACCCCATTGTCCCTTTCAAACGAAACAGATAGCTTCTTCGCGGTTTTTCTCGAGTTCTTGTGGGCCTTGTCCCTTGTGTCATGGCTATTTTCAACATAGTCATTTGCTCGAGCGCCTTTGGAGCAAATGCAGCCCATAATTTAGAGCCCCTGTAGTTTTTCCAACCAGAAACTGCCTCATTCAATGTAGTCTCCGTCTTTGTTACTATCGGATTCGATTATCCTCAAAGAAAATGCGTCCTAATTTTCTCTCTTAAAAGAAATGCAACTTTCTCTAGTGAATGAGAAAGACCCAGATCCCAAATCAAAAGGATATCCCAAAGAGATCATTAATTCGACAGATCCCAAAAAGCTTATAGCCAACTCAACAAAAACCCAGATCTCCAAATAAAAAAAAATCCCAGAAAACGGATCAAACTGAGAATTTTATGAACCAAATTGCAGGCTTTGCTAAAAAACAATTAAAAACGATAATACATATAACTTAAGCAAAAATGAAAAAAGAAGAAGCAACAATTAGTTTTCTCACAATATCAATAATTGAATTGTCTACAATTGTTGAAGACATAAAACTGAAGTAAATGCGTCATACAAGTAAATTGGAATTCCAAAAAAATTGGTTTTTTCTTTTTACTTTGACAGATATTACTCTTCTTTTTTAGAACAATTCAAAATGTTTAAAAGTTCTTACAAAAGAAGGAGATGAATACGGATCTGCATATCAGTCCAGAGGTTAGGAATAGCCATTGAAAAACAATATTTTTTGGTTCCCTTCCCTCCTTTCGTTTTACAACTTGAACAAAATCAGATTTTATCTATTTTTAATCTATAAGACAAGAAAGAAGAAACTAAAATGAATGTAGTACTGTGTTTTGAAACGGAAAGAGATGTGTTGCTGTGGTTTTTTGTGTTTGGTGGAGAGGAAAATTAAAAACAGAAACAAGAGGAATGTTTACAGTGGAGGAGTATAGAGGAGAGGAAGGAGAGTGGAAGATGGAGGTTGAACGCGCCGCACGAGTGGAGGGAGAAGGTGGTGCAGCGTGGCGTGTAGTGAGGGCCAGTGGGACCCGGAGAAACAAACGACCATAAATATCGTGGCTGACAACGACGTGACTGTAAAGTGTATTTTCAACTATTTTGTCGGCCCACGTAATTGCCTTTGGGTTAGGCACTTAGCCTGCTTCACTTTCGGATCTAGAGCCTAACGATTGTGATCCAATAATATGAGAAGGCTTAATACTATAATAATAATAATAATAATGGGTCGGGTTAGGTTTTTGATCCACTCGATTTGAGTATAACATCCCTCTGCCTGTTACTGTATTTGGACTTGAGGAATATTCAACTGACTCAAAATTTGACTTGCTTTAGAGGGTGAAAACTCGCACCAAATTCAATAATTGATAGTTATCGATCGTCTTTCGCAACTGATGCCATTAACAGCTAATGATATCAAAGCATATTTTATTTCAAAAAATTTTAAAAAGGACAGTTTAGTTTTTTAATAATTTTTTATTTTAAATTATTTTAGTTAATGACACGGCAATGTGAAGAAACTTTTTCCACGTGTCCTGTTTTTATTCGTGTATAAGAGTTACGTAGGTACGAGAAATAAACGAGCCTAACGCTTCGAGGAACTCCGAAGCAAGAGGTTCGAATGACATAGCTCGCGACAGTCTGTCACCAACAAAATCCCACGTACCTAACGGTTGTTCCCCTAAGGCCCTAACTACGTTCTTCCCTATATCTTCGTTTATACTTAGCAACCAGTTTTTAGGGTTCCTGGATCTTCATTTTCTACGTTTCTGTCTCCTGGCCTCGCCGGATCAAGATTATCCTCTTTGTAAGCTCTTATTTTTTATGAATTTTTCTTCATTTCTGTTTTTTTTTTGAATTTTTGAGTGTGTGTAGTATTATTGAACTTTTTGGATTTTGTGTTAAGAAATTTAGTAGCATTTTTGTTTAATAGCTGTGTTGCATGCACTGGTGATGACAATGAGCGTTAGAATTTTGAAATTAATTCGTTTATTTTTTGTTTATAATTTTTTGCACGTTTCTTATATTAGAATCATTTGTTTCCTCAAGGGATATAATTTTTTATTTATTCGAGTAATTTATAGTTGACGTCAAATGAAAGGAAAGGAAACGAAACGAATAGAGATTTATACATTTCGCAGCTTATCACTTGTTAATTCTTATTAAAATTAGGGACAAACTTCTATCAAAAAAAAATTAGGGACAAACATGCTTGTATAATTCGATGCCAATTCTCATAAATTGGGAAAATTGTTTGGATTAGCGATGTTTTATGCAATTTATGTTATGTGTTTCTTTGTGACTTTTAGAAACAAAGTTGCAGGTCTTATCATGGTGAAAATTTAATATAGGGAGGGACATTGATATATGTAAGGTGAAGTGTTGGTTTCAAAATAATTCGTTTGACTGTTTGATTCACATGATATTATGGTGCTATTTTGGGTATTATTAGTTAATCATGTTTTCAGAGTTGTTTGTCAATTTTTTCTCATAACCAATTTTGATATTTTAGTCGACTATATGCTGCATAAGTTACTATTATAGTGTTACTCTTTATGGTCAGTGGCCGATTATCAAAAAGTAATTTTTACATCATTCTCTATATGGTAATGTGTAGATTTTGATTTACTAATGTATGAACTTTAAGTTGTCTTTCTTACACAAACTATTTAATTAAATGTTTACGATCTTACCTAATATTTTTATTCTCATCTAGTCAACACACAATGTAAATTTTGTTTTTGTTGATGTGGAAACTTAGGGCCTTTCTTGTGTCTCCTTTTGTTGTCTTAAATATTCAATTAAGATGACATGCATGTGTTTTCCTTGTGACCTAAGCCATTATTATGGAAATGAATGGCAGTAGATTCTTGTGTTTTCCTTATTATAAATGAAGACATTTCCTGAATGCTTATATAAATATTTGTGTATAAATGAGACTATCATTTATTTTGATTTATGTGTTAGCCCGAGTGAGTTGACAAATGTGAAGTCCCTTATGATAATGTCTTGTGTATTAGGTGATTGTGCAACTTTGTCGTAATGGCTTGCTATGTGGTCATATGAATCTAAATGTTCTTTATTTTTTATGAAAAATTTATAAAACCATAAATTCTGGGAACATTTTTTGTGTTCTTTGGAGGAAAATGCATGCAGAAAGTGGTGGATTTGGCCATATCTTATGCATACTATGGATATTTTTATTTTTTGTTATCAAGTTTTATTCATCTTTTTTGTTTTTGGTTATTAGTTTATTTCTTCCTCTTTCTTGTTCCACAGGTTCTTGGATCAAATGATTAAAGTTGAGCTAAATCTTGAAGATTAGTTGTTTCAACAGCAGTCTAAATGTGAAATTTATATGTTTTGAATTAGTTAATGTTCAACTGACTTGGATCTGGTAGCCTGGAAAGAAGATAAGGAATTCTGTTGATGATGCCTGCTTGGTCATCTTCTCACACTGTTTATTTCAGTACCATCTAATACTAAATTCAGTTATATCAGAAGGTAGCTTGTACGCTATCAGAGGATCCTTTTGTATCCATGCTCGGAGAGGGCATGCTTGGAATCTGTGTTTTGGGTAATGCCCCTGACGAGAAATTCTGCCGAAGCATTCGGTGTGTTGACAATTTGTCTAGTTGCTCTCCTTATTCTTCTTGGTTTAGTGTGCATAGGATACTTGTTTTACCTACGTTCGCATGTTCTTAGACAAGGATTTGTTCAGGTCAATTATTTTACCGGTCCTTGGATCATCCGAATCACATTCATTTTGTTCACCATCTGGTGGGGTTTTGGTGAAATTGTAAGGCTAAATTTTCTAAGACGACAGGGAAGAGTGTTGAATGCACTAAATTTGAAAAGGCAAGAAAACATCTGCAAATGTTACATTGTCTTGAATTTAGGTTTTGCAGAACCTTGTATCTTCCTCACTGTTGTTTATCTTCTTCGTGCTCCACTACAAAATATGGACACTGGAATTCTACGCAAAAAATGGAGCGGGAAAACTGCAGGCTACGTTCTTCTCTACTGTCTCCCGGTTTTTGTTCTTCAACTCATTATTATTTTGATTGGACCAGAGTTACTCAAGGATAGGAGAGAATGGCCGCCATATTTCACTAGAGCAGCCACTCCAGTGATGCAAGACTCCGATAACATCGCTCTTTGCACTTACCCGTTGCTGAATACAATTATTATCGGACTTTTTGTTACCTTCTTCACTGCCTACTTGTTTTGGCTTGGAAGACAGATTTTGAATTTGGTTATCAACGAGGGTTTGCAGAAGAGAGTTTACAGATTAATTTTTTCGGTGTCGAGTTTTCTTCCATTAAGGGTTCTGTTACTTGGTTTATATATTTTATCTAAGCCAGGGGAATTTCTCTTTGAAGCTCTTGCGTTCTCAGCTTTTCTTGTCCTGCTGTGTTGTGTTGGGATTTGTATTTGCATACTTGTACGTTGCCCGGTCGCGGACTGTTTAGCCTTGGAGAATCTTCATGACCTGGAAGCTAGGAGAAGGTTGGTTGTTGATGATCAAAATGACACTGTTTCTCTTATGGCTAATCAGAGGAATTCTGATGCCTCTTCAAGGCCTGGGTCAATTTCTTTACGGACTTTTGAACAAGATGCTACAGCGGCTGGGGCCTTAATGGAACCGAGCCTCTTCTTTCTTAACCGAGATGCAATGCCACCAGGATAACCTCCTCTTTGGGACTGGCCGATGCGACCTTCAACACATGTTCATGTACCCTAAAAGTAAGCAAGAATCTGAGTCGCGAATATTAATTGTAAAGGGTTTTAGCTTCGATACATGGTTTGCTTTTCAAACATTAGATATGGTGATTTTGCTTGATGGAATTTATATCCCCCCGACATTAACATCTGAATAACCCAGTTTTTATATGCATTAGATTTTTGGTTTATTTTGGTACGTAAATTAGTGGTTTGATGGTTTTGATCGCAGGTAATACGACACCTGCACTGCCTCATCAGAAATTAAGGATTATGCTTGGTCTCTCTCTATGAGGCAAAAGTCTTAACAATATTTTTGAAATATGAAAGTCCTGATTTAGACAAATAAAAATAAATTAAACCCTCTTATAACTTTTTCAATAAGGGATTAATATCTGAAATTTGAAGAACAAAATAAAATAAAATTTAAATAATAAAATGTACTTATAAATTTAATTAATTTAAAATTTTCACTTAATTCGATTAAATATTTCATTCTAATCTTAAAACCCAAAATCAAGTTCATTTGTTTCTTTCCTTTTCTAAATTGTCCTTTTCTTGGGGGCAATGGGTAGATAATGGTGATTGGTGAGTGGGAAATGAAAGATACTTTTCTTAGAATAATCTACACACGATTTGAATATGATTCCATTATTCAATTGTTTTCTTATATAAATGAATATGATTAGCTGATGAAAACTTTATGCAAGAACATCTCTTCCATTAATGAAGGTTAGGAACAATTGATGACACAGAACCCAAAATAAGATGATGCAAGACGAACGATAAAATGGTAAAAGCATTTGTCAGTTCCTTTTATTAGGAATTATATCAATTTAGTCTTCTTTATTTATTAATAAGATCGAATCAATACATCTATTATAAAAACTTATTCACATTTTCCCCTCTACTATTAAATGAGTTAACTTAGTCCTTATACTAGTAAAAAGAAATAATGCATAAATTTTATAGATTTAACGTTTATAGTTTAAATTTTGATAGCAAATATAATGGTCAATTCTAGAAATTTCAAAAGTTTGATGATCATTTTGTAATAATTTGATAAATTTAATAATTATTTAGTAAATTTTAAATTTTAATGACTAAAATAATCATTTAACATATGGGTAGCATTTAATGTGGTAGTTAACAAAATTAATAGGATTACACATTTAATTTATATTAGATGGTGACATGTGTCACTAGTGCATGTCATGACACATCATCAAATGATTGAATGGTTAAATTTACTGAATTAAATTAAAATTAAGGTTAAATTGATTAAATGTGTAAGTAATATGGACTAAAAGTGTAAGTATATTAATTTTATAACTACCACGTTAATTATTAACGATATGTGACTTGATTGGTATCATTTAAATAGTTAATTGATATGATTGATAAAATTAAATGATCAAAGTCAAATTAAAATCTCCCATAATGGTCATGGGTGTAGTTTATCCTAATAATGAAGGAGATTAAATTGATCTATTTGATAATATAGGAACTAAATTAATATGGTCCTATAATAAAGGGACCTGACATGTACTTTGACCATCACAAAAGATAAAGACGAACCTTGCAAAGGTTAACCCCTTTCCTCTTCTGCGCATGGGTAAAGTGAAAAAAGCTCGACACGTGGCGTATAAAAGTGGCGAGTACAGAATGGTTGTAATACTCGACGGACCACTCTCTCTCCATTATCTCCCACGTTCTTACAATATCCCGTTGAAACCGGCGCGTGCGTCTCTTTGTAACTTACAAGCTTTTACGACGACAGAGCAAAACGCAGTAGAAACATCATAAAGGAACACGACAGTCAAAGCAAACACATTATATTAAAATAAATATTAAATATACTCAATAAAAAACGGCTTTTTATTCTAAAACGACTCCATCTCTTCTTCTACCTCTGCTCAAAATTGTTCTTTTTCTGTGAGGATTTTTACCTTCGCTTTCTCATTACGACGCCGTCTTCTGCCATTGCAGAAGTTGACTACTTTAGACTTATCCTTTCCCACCTTTTCACTCCTTGCTTTTTTCTGTAGACTTTCTCATGTTGTAAATTATAGCCAAAAAAGAAAACTTTTCGTTCTTTTAAGTTCGGGTATCTCTCTATCTCTTATCTGGGTATTGATTTTTTCATGCAAAGAAGATGTCTTTTAGCTGTGTAAGTTTCTTTAAAACTCTCTGTTCCAGCAAGGGTTTGATTTTTTCCCCTTCCTTTTTGGTGATTTTCTGCTTCAGTTTCGCTTTTTTTTTTGTTAATTTTAAGTTGAGAGATTAGTACTTAATAAAGTGGGAAGGTTTGATTTACTAGTCTTATACTCTTATTCGGTTGCTAAGAGAAGAAAGAGCTGTAGCAGATTTCACAGCAGGTTGAGTCTTACAGTTGCTTGTTGTTTTGTCAATGAGAGAAGCCTATTCGGTTTGGTTCATAGTTCAATTTTAGTTCTACTTCTCAGTTTGTGGTAATTCATCTGCTTGATTGAGGTTTATTTTAGTGCAGTTCTGTAATCCATTGTTTAATTGGAGCCTGGGGGAAGATGAGAGAGCAAGAAGGATATTGAATTTTGAATATATTATGATGTTTATCATTTGCTATTAGCCTATTATGATAACTAGAACTGACCAGAATCTTAAATTGAATGAAGATATTATCTTGAGATTGTCAGTTTTTACTTGGATTGTATTGTTTTCCATGATGATTTTACCTGTGACTTGCCTGATTTTCAGTTGGTGGTCTCCGTTCTTTTATGTTTGTTTACGTTTGTTTGATCAATAATTTCTTGGACAAATTTAAAAGATGCACATCGACTCGGCTGACAGTTTTAGGATGTCTCAAGAAGTTTGATAGTTGCAATCTTAATTTGAATGAAGATATTTGTCAGTTTTTCCTTGGATTGTATTGGCTTTAAGGATGATTTTACCTGCGGCTTGCCTGATTTTCGTGGTCTCCTCTCTTTTATGTTTTTAACATTTGGTCCATGGTGATTCGATCAATATTTTCTTAGTTAGACAAATTTAAAGGGTGCATTTCAACTAGTTGATTATGTGAAAAAGCTTGTAAAATGACTCGAAGAAATTTGATAGTTTCTCTGTCTTAGGACTTCCTTTCAGGTTTTCTTCCTTTATTTTTTTTTCTGTCTTATTTGACTATCTAATCTTTATAATGGTATGGAATGTGAATATAATTTCCTCTGCTTTCCATTACAGGCTTCTGCGATGTCGGATTCAAAGAGTAGGGCGTGCCTGTGCAGTCTCTTTGTTGTAGCTTCTTTGTTTTATGGTGCTTATTTCATTGGTAGTGGATTTATCGCTAAGGAATACAACGATGTATGCGTTTCTGCTTTTGCAATTTATTTATTTTTCCTGTTGGAATTTAATTTTTCCTTTCTGGTGAGGAACTGTTTTATTATACTCAGTGATGCTCAAGGAATGTGAAGAGTAGTTAAAGCTGATATAGGTTCTTCTAATTCTTTTAACTTCAGCAACATGGTTGTGAAGTTTAAGTTTGGTTCCCACTTGATGCATGAAATGCATGAAAGCACAATATCACCTTTTATTATCGGATGAAAATCGAAACTATAAAAACTTGTCGCGGATGGGAAAAAATAGCACATGCACACATGAAAGGTATCTCACACATCAAATGAAGTTCAGAACTTGAATTTAACTAAGAATCACCAAAAAGGAGACTTTGCGGTTCAATGTGACTTCGACTTTTCATGAATGCTCTTTTTCTTGGATTACCAGGGCTGAAAGATTTTTATCTCATACTATATATTTCTGAATCATGTATTCAGAGATTGTCGAGATGGGAGGTTATTAATATGCTTCAAAATTCGAAATCTGCTATGTGCAAGGTTGGTCTTCTTTTTGAAAAAAATAGTCTTTAGGATAGTGCATCAAGTCCTTTTAAATGTTTTGTGATATACTATTCTCTTCTAAATCTTGTTCTTTTCCATATAGGTTCGGTGTCGGCCTCCTGGAAGCGAGGCATTACCGGAAGGAATTGTAGTCAAAACATCAAACCTGGAAATGAGACCTTTATGGAACGACACTGTGAAACCTGTACTGTTGAAAATTTTCTATACTGACACGCTTCAAACGCTTTCTTCTGCTACTCGGTAAACATTGTTTGATTGTCTTTTATGCTTACATTTTGAGTTTAGGGCAATCTAGAGCCATCTGCAAACTTGATAGCCATTGCTGTTGGAATAAAGCAAAAGGAAATTGTGGATCGAATCATTAAAAAGGTACCTCGCTTCTCAAATGCCTTTTTTATTTCAAATTATCATTTTTATACTCGGGCTTAACAATGATCATCGATTTACAGTTTCCTGCAAGAGATTTTGTTGTGATGCTTTTCCACTATGATGGTGTTGTGGATGAATGGAGAGATTTGGAATGGAACGACAGGGCCATACATTTATCTGCAGTGAATCAAACAAAATGGTAAATGTCGCTTTTTCCGGAGATGTTTATCTTTCTTGTTCACTTCTGGCTGCATGTGCAAGCATGTCTTATACATGCTAATCAGCTGGAAAGATATGTTGTTCTAGGTGGTTTGCCAAACGTTTCTTGCATCCGGATATAGTTGCCGAATATAAGTATATATTCCTCTGGGATGAAGATCTTGCTGTAGATAACTTTGATCCGACACGGTAAGTATATCCTACATTTATGTGATTAAGATTTGATCTTCCTTAAGTTTTTCATGTCATAGTTTAGAGTTGGCCTCTAATCGTATTCGAGTATTACAGACGTGCATGCGCACAGAAACTGTGTCCCTGTTTGTTTTTCACACATTTGTTAAGTCTGAATTTTGGATTCTGAGCTTAAAACGTATCAAACTTTCTGTAGATATTTGTCTATTATTGAAGACGAGGGACTTGAGATATCACAACCTGCACTAGATCCTGCTAAGTCCGACGTGCATCATCAAATCACAGCACGCAAAAGGAACTCAAGATTGCACAGGTTCGTTGTGTAAACCAGTAGGAAATGTCCTTTCGGAACAGTTCTCCTGTTTTACTTAAAAGACAAATTTAGCAGGGAAATTGTACTGACTCGGACCCTATCAACCGTTAACAACAGTTCAAAATAGTTTCTTTCAAGACTCATTCTTTGTGTATACTATACCGTTTTCTAACAAACAAAGCTGTCTTATGATCTCGCTTTCCATGAATATCAGACATGTATTTTCCTGTATTTCTTAAGAATGTTCTATTAATCTTTGTTAGTGAACGATACATTCAATTTATCTTGTTCGAACAGAAGGATATACAAGTTTAAAGGCAGTGGAAGGTGTGAGCACTGCTCCTCCATGTATCGGGTAAACTAGTAGTAACTTCACAGCTCTTGGATGCTATGTTCGAAATTCAACACCTTTTGCATTGCGATAACTTATTGTTATTCTTCGGCAGTTAACAAAATATGTTTTGCAGATGGGTGGAAATGATGGCCCCGGTGTTCTCAAGAGCTGCCTGGCGCTGTGCTTGGTATATGATCCAGGTACGAAGTATTTTTCGTGAGTACAGTCATATTGGTCAAACATTGACCGAGTACTTTTTTTCACAATGTGATACTTCTGATAAGATCTGTTTACATCTGCCTAATATTCCTTTGGCCTACAGAATGATTTGATCCACGCTTGGGGCCTCGACAAGCAGCTCGGTTATTGTGCACAAGTAACTTTTTGAATCATATAATATAAAGTTTGTTTCCAATTCACATGGGCACTCGGGTGATATTTGGACTCTCATGCAGGGGGATCGTATGAAAAATGTCGGAGTGGTTGACGCCCAGTACATAGTTCATTTGGGTCTTCCAACACTAGGCGTCGTGGCCAAAACTGAGGCAAGTATTCATCGAAGCCCATGTAAATGGAAGGGGATCATAGGTCTAGACAGAAACTCGACATTATACTATGAAAACGACTAGAAGATAAAATAATTCACTTTGGAATTCGAAGTTGTTTAACTTCAAGCAAGCAAGACACTCTTACCCAGCATATTCGTGTCGAATTCGCTGTTTGTCTCTAACAGTCTTTCATCTTCTTGGTGATGCAGTTAAATTCCAGGCAAGTGAACATTACTCGGACTCGGACGGAGCACTTCTCTAAACGAGAAGCATCAGTATGTTTTTGTGAATATCATTTTGCCAAACATAAGAGCCATTTTCGACAATTTATAACACTATTCGTCTTTGAAATTGCAGGCACCATCAGAATCCCATGAAGTTGACAATAGGCCAGAAGTAAGGCCGCTTAGACATTGCTTTATAAGTTGTTCAATGCTCTTATTATATGCAACCGTTCTTTACATTTGAATTATAATGTGGTTTCAGGTAAGAAGACAGTCCTTCATCGAAATGCAAATGTTCCGTAAAAGATGGGAAAATGCTGTCAAGAAGGACAAATGTTGGATTGACCCTTACCAACAATCATCACTTAACTAAAGCACCAACTCTGAACATGTACGTCTTTTTTCTGGAGGCAAATTTGTGAGAGACAACTGAGGTCAGTGAACAGCTCAGTATATGAAATCACCAAATTCGGAACCACAGCGAGTAAAGGAGCCTTGTATTATAGATAATTGATGCTTGTAATCTTGGTTTTGATTGTTATTCATTATTCATTTAATGACAATGTAAATGTGTTTTTGTTGTTTGAGAAATGTTGCTGTTTCGCAGTGTTGCTTATTAAGGCCTCGATCACTTGGAGTTGGTGACCAGCATAAGCTTTGTTTCTTTGCTTCATATTGCTTTGTTTTCCTTGCAAGAAAAGGTTTTTAAACAGTGGTTAAATTTTAAAACATTCTAATTACACAAATATATTTCTAATCCATAATGGACTAAACAAGCCAGTATAATTTAGTTATTCGAATGGGGCATTCAACGGAATGTCTATTTCAGCCATATTCATCCATTTAGAGGTTGGAATAGGCATTCTTGAGTCTAGTGCACAATTATAACCATTTATAATATCGTTCGACAATTTGGAGCAACAATGTCGACCAAAACACAATTTAAACCTAAGTTTTCTCTCAGCTCTTGAAAATGGCAATTGGAAGATGGAAAAGATCTAGATATGCAAAGTACGACTGATGGCAATCTTTCGAACAACTTCCAAGCCATTCAAGTCGAGGGTCACATCTTCTAAGCTTCTTCGTTTCTTCTTCCTTTTCCATGTCTTGACCTCTTGGGTGTCTCGTCCTCACTTTCACTGTCTTCGTTTCTAAAGCTGTTTCCAGCAGCATGTGAATCTGCCTTTTGTACTTCATGTTGATACCGTGTCTTGTCATCCAACCCACCCCCGGGACCGGTCATGTCCTGACCTCTACCCTGCTCCGATACTGCATTATATCTGTCATTGGTTGGTGTCCCTGATCTCTTTTAATAGGCCTATCAGAATTATGTGAGGAAGATGTTGGAGGTCCAGGAAACGTAGGGGCCATGCCAATGAGCCGGCCACCTCGAGGAGGATTTGCACCTGTAGCCATACCCCCCATAAACGAAGCATGCCCTGGACCCATGATCATCCCTAGTCCACCACCTGGAAACATTGGCCCAGATTGTGGAGGTCGTCCTGGAAACATCATGCCAGATGTGGAACCTCTAAAATCCCCAAAAAACCTTGGTCCATATGGAGCAAATGGACGAGGAGCACCAAAGACATCTGGCATCCCAAAACTATCAGGTGTAACTGATCCATAAGAAAAGCCATCACCACCCATAATCATAGGTGGAAAACCACGCATCCCGGGCATGGGTCTGGCTCCACGGGCTAGTGGCATGTGAGGGGGCCACATCATTCCTCTGCCCTGATCTGCCCCACCAAAGCTTTCATCCTCCTCACTTTCTTCCTCTTCCTCGTCTTCATTGTCCTCAAATGGAACGATGTCTGGATTCTCTCCTCCAATATCTGAATTGACTCCCTTTGCTTTCTCTTGTTCACGTTTTGATTCTGCTGCCAGTGAAATTGCCTGTATCCATGGGAATAAAAAGATGAATACAGACATAAAAAATCATTCATTGTGGACATCCAATATGCTTAACGCTCTCAGTCTGTCCGTATTTAAACAACCTTCCCATGGAAAATGAAGTAAACATCGCTCATCAGTCAACTGAGTCTAATCTCATGAGGATAACATCATCGTTCAACTCCCCACAAGAACGTGTACACATTTATCACTAACACCACCTGCATAGTATGATTTATTAGGAGGGCTATATGCCTGCCTTAAATACATCGTATACGGACCTCACATTTAGGTACATAAACGAAATCATACTAATTAGCACAAAGCAGTAGAACACAAGATTTTTTTCTTTTACTTTTGCCATCCCTTTTTTTTTCTTTTTTGATTCGTTACTTTTACAACTCTTATTCTAATAATTAAATTTCAATGTGTTCAAACTCAGAAATTATAAAAAATAAATAGAATAAGCATACCATAAGCTCACTATCTGGATCATGATAAAGCAAGGAGGCTAGCTGTTCCCCAACGGAAGGCTCTAACTCCTGACAATCTCTACTTATCTGTCAGATCACAAAGTAGACCGATAAGTTTAAACTATAATCAACCGAGAAATTATATATATAATTCACAAACATTAATTGACAAAATTATAACTATCTGGCTCAAGATAAAGCATGGTGCTTATTTTGAAATTTCTGTTTGTGAAATCTAATTTTTCTACATTTTTTAGTTTCTGATTAGTTTAATGCCCCCTATTAGATGAATTATTTTTATTTTTTGGGGGATGCATAAAGATTATTCTGTACAAATGTTACGAGCTTCTAACTAGTAACTGCTATTCTTGATATGTAGTTATGTGAGCTTTCCTTTCACAAAACTCGCCATTTGAGGAACCCCTACAATGAGAACCTACCAGTAAAGGTATAATTCCTAGCCTTTTCAAGTTAAAGCCTTCACATTGGATGAGGATAATGTTACTTGACCAATAATTTTGTCAATTAATTAGGTTAATGATCTGGTTTCTTTGATTTATATATATATATATATGCTTTTCAAGTTAAAATTATAATCTCGTATACGTTTATTTATTTTTGTAGGTGGTTATATTCATTCTTTTAGTATTTACAAACATATTCGTTTAAGTTCGTAAATATATTCGTTAAACATTTTCGAACATGTTGAACAATCAACACTCTCATTTTATCCTTTTATTTGCAAGCCAAATAAAAGTAGTAAAATTACACAACTAGTCCCTAATTTCTTTAGACTTTATAGTTTAAGCTCCAAAGTTCACATTATGTTCAATTTGATCCCTACTTTCACAAATATTTAAAATGCAAAAAAAAATGAGTAAATGAGCCAACAAATCAGTAAACAAGTTTTTCCGTAAATATAAATGAACCGGACACACGTCTATTCGTGTTTGTTCGTTTATTAAATGAACATGAAAATTTTATCCATACTTGTTTATTTAGTTTAATAAACAAACATAAATAAATTATATACGAACATTTCGCGAATAATTCGTCAAACACTCTATTAATTTACACCCTATACGTTATCCATTTGAATGACAATTGTTTTAAGTGAACTGGTCTTTTTTCTAAAAAAAAAGTTGCATTAGTCTGATTAACCTCAAATGTAGAAATAATGAAAGTAAATGAATGGAAGCGTATATATAAAATCTAGTCTTAATTTATAAAAATATTTCAATGGTCAACTTGTGATGCTCCTCCAACCTCGATGTTTGTAGCAGCTGCCATTGATATTGTATCAGTAGTTTCCTTAGCTGCATCATACGAAGCATGTAGTGCGATGAAAACATAATAGACCAGCAAGAGCAATGTCCAGATTCCGAATCTCATATATGATGCACTGTCGATCGAAGCCATGATGAACACGTTAATGGCGATAGAAGCCGATGGTATCCAAGGCATTAATGGCACACCCCACAGCTTGGGATTCTTTGCTTCCTTCACTACCAATTTTAGCCCGAGTGTCGCTAAGAACCAAACCGGGACGGTCACGGTAAAGCCGATCCATCCGTTGTTTCCCACTGCCCAATTCACGGCAGTAGCAATCGAGGATCCTACGATCAACACCAAGAATCCTATCAGCTTGTTCCTATCGGAGCATGCCGTCTCGCCTCTGGCATAGTAACGTCTAACCAGAAGCGCCAATGCAACCAGTGAGAAAATGAACAATGTTGCTAAAGAAAGGAGGTTTGCCAACACGTCAAGGCTCGTGAAGAATCCAACAATAGAGTTTAAGATAGTCATGACAATCGTGGCATTAACCGGTGTTCCAGTTTTCTCGTTAATGGCTGCGAGGAACGGTGGCGCCATATGAGTGCGACCTATGTGAGTGAAGTACCGAGCTTGACCGAGTAGGTTGGCTAGCAAAACTGTTGTCATTCCCTTCAATGCACCTATTGCAACAATATAGTTTGCCCATTTCATGCCTACGGCTTGGAATGCCAAAGTAAATGGTGCATCCACATCAATTTGGTCGTATGGTTGCATGAAAATCAAAGTTGCTGAGAGAAGGCAATACACTACTATGATAATCGACATGGAGCCTATTAAGCCAATCGGTATATCTCGACCGGGGTTCTTAACCTCTTCTCCGAGTGTTGCCACACCATCGAACCCGACGTAAGCAAAGAAGAGAACAGAGGAAGCTTTGAGAATACCATGGATTCCTTTAGGGGCAAAGGGTGAAAAATGCTTTGGGTCAGCCTTCGTTAAACCAGCAATAAGAATGAAAAGCAGAACTATTAGATGGACAATGGTGGTGGTGGAATTGAACTTCGACGACATTTTTGTGCTCAGACATGCGGCCATGCAGATGATTACGGAAATAGCAACTGCAATAGGGTCTAAGTGGTTGTAGCCTTCAGCAATCGATGAAACATGGAACCGGAAACTATCCGGATCTTGGTTGAACAGAGTAGCGAGATACGAAGTCCAGGACCTTGCCACACTAGCACCGGAGACAACGTACTCGAAAAGAATGTTTCCAGCAGCAATATAAGCAACGAAATCACCAAGCTCGACTCTAAGATACGTAAACGAGCCACCGGCAACAGGCAATTCGACGGAGAATTCAGTGTAGCACAGAACCGAGAGCAGTGCAGTAATACCTGAAATAAGATAAGAAACCACAACAGCAGGGCCAGCTTGATTCCTAGCAGCTTCACCAGTGAGGACAAATATTCCAGAACCCAATACGGCTCCAATGCCGAACCAAATCATGTCCCACCAATTCAGGGTCTTCTGCATTTCATGCCGACTACGATCGCGTACCTCGTGCAGCTCGATGTGGTCCGTGGAACGCGCCAGTAGACGGTCTTTAATCCTGGATTTTGTGTTGGACAGTGCATTCAAATAGCTTTTACAACTCTGAAATGACTGTTCAGGCAAGAAATCTTGCTTGGTGCAACCACATCCCCTCCTCTTAGAACCACTTCCGTTGCCATCAACACCAGTACTTTCAATTGCCATGTTATATGGTACTCTGAAAACACTAAAATCCACCAGTTTGAGGAATTAAATGACTAATTATCAAAGACCATGTGAAATATCAGTTCAATAATCATTGTTAAAAAATGGGGGATTTTTGAATGATCCCCATAAGGCCTAGCTCACCCTAGAGGAAGAAAGTCCAATAAATTATTCAATAACAATGAAAATCATCTGTTATTCTCTACAAATTTAGGGGGTTCTCCAATACATTTTGGGTTATTCTCAACAGATCTCATCAATCTATGATGTAAAAAAAAAAATACCAAACAACTTTGCCAAGAAAGCAGATTGCATGCATGCATGCATTTAAGCCATGAGAGATTCTATTCATTCACTGTGTTCTTCCATGGAAGATTTCATTTCTTCGTATACAGAGAAATAGACAAAATATACATATATATAAGCAAAAGAAACCATGATTTCATGTGTGGCTGAAACTGAGATAATAGTTAATACAGTGTAAAAAACCATACCTTGAAAAAGATTGAAAGCTAAGCAGAAACAGATGAACAATAGCTATTTGGAGGCTGTTAAATATACAATGGGATTGATTTCAGGTAACTTCTTTTTTCTTTTTCTTTTTTGGTTAAAAATGGTGAGGGCTGTATATATATATATATGGAGAGAGAGAACGATAAATTCCTATACGTATGGTAAGCTTGATCCAATATAACTGTTTGATATTTTATAGATACTATGTACTGTTTCATTAGGTATGATATATCTCTACGTGCAACTGCACCCCACAAGGCTTTAAGTTTTAAGGTAAAGTACACAAATGGTCCCCCAACTATAAGATTAAGTCACCAACTATTAAAACCCATAAAATGGTCCATCGACTATAGTGCATTGTTTTGTTCAGTCCCTCGATTATTAAAAGTTACAAAATGATCATTTGACTATCCATTATATTCTAAACTCGTGAGTTTCTATTAAAAAGTTAAAGATCGTATGAGTTGGATGTTACCATACTAATTGAGATAAGATAGTCGTTTGAGATTATGATATCAGATTTTATCATATATCAATCAATAAATTAACGTTCAGCTCAGACTATCGTCAATTTTTTAACAAAAAATGACGAGTTTGGAACATATGAATGTCAGACATTTTGTAACTTTTAATAATCAAGGAACTCAACAAACCAACGCATTATAATCAAATAACAATTTTATAACTTTTAATAGTCGGAGACTCAACAAAGCAGCGCCATATAATTAGGTCCATTTATATACTTTAAGTTTTAAAACCCTTACAAATAATATACTGTAGTTTGATTGATATGATCACTGTTATATCATACATAAGAACGTGAATTAAATATGAGATAAAAAAGGTTGAATACTGTAATTATTATACTAAAAATTATATGTTTAAAAAACAGTATATTCAATAATAATCTTTTAAAGAGTATATTTATATTTTCTTTATAAAAAAAACAATTTCAAATGAATATACCTATTCTAGAAACTTCTAAATGATAAACTTCATCTTCTTTTCAAAACTTTTTGAATTTGATAGGATGATTAGTATAGTAACAAAATCTATTAAAAAAGAAATTTTGGTATAACAATGAATAAATAACCAATAACGAAACCATATACTATAAATACAAAAGCATTCCATTTAAAACGTACAAGAAATATTTCTTTTAAATTATTCGAATTTGAACAACTTTATTTGTAGAACATACGTGAGAACAAATACTATCTTTTGATTTTATTAAGAACGTAAATATATGTAATATTATACTTAAATTAATCAATTAATAATTAGTTAATATTTTAATAAATTTAGAGTAAAATCAATGTAATATATATTTAATTATCTCAACAACTTAACCATAGACACTCGTACTTCTATACATGTTGTACTTCAAATTAGGACCTTAAGAAATAATAAAATTTTATTAATTACTGAGATTATTTGGTTCATACATTAATTAATAAATTAAATATTTATTATTAAATGGAAAAAATGGTGCATTGATGAGTCTATTAATTAAGGGCATGGATGATTCCAAGCTGAATGAATTGT